CAAATTGGATTGTATCGCACGAGGGGACCAAAAAAGCAACCCCTGATTTTCTAGATAAGCGAGTAAAGGCAGCAATAACATAAAAAATCTGAAAAGATGAAAAATTGTATTGTAGAAGTTGTTAAGCGGTATCTACTCATCACCTGTACGGGGTAGATGCTGTAAAGTGCTGACCTGCTGTGCCGAACGCGATGACGATGCATTCCCCCGTTCTTCTGTTGTTCCAGCCTAGGGTGCTTGAGCCGCTTCTTCGCCGGATGCATTATCGATCCCTCCTTCCTGTGACCCATGATCAGCTTCGTTGGTAACACCAGGCCGATTTTGCTCGATGGCTTGCCTCCTTTGATGGGCTATTGCGGCAACAATAGGAGATGCCGAAATCTCACAGGCAGCTAAAGACCTGGTCTGGTCCTTGGACTCGCACGTAGGGCACAAGATGTGCTGTCCGAAGCCTTCGGCTCCAACCGGCTTGCCACAAAATGGGTGCATATGCACGGAGCAAGATGGGCAAACATGCACAGGACCAACGTCACCTCCGCAGCTGCCACAAGGCGCCAATGTGCTTCGTAACGTACTCATTGTACGCGTGTGCCGCCTGTTGAACTTGTGTCGAAGTGCAGTCGTTCCAAGAGCAGCGGATGCAACCTATTTGAGCGAGATACTATTTTTGAATTGAGACTATTTTTGAACCGCTTCAACTTTTGCTCACCATAATTAGTCTAATGAAAACGTAGTGTGACTAATTTTGAACATAGACTAATTTTGCACTCAAACTAATTACGGTATCCAGTGTACTGATGTACATGGGCGTTAGTGTCAGATGCATTACTGTACGGCCCGTACACCTCCCGTACTACGGGAGGCTGTTGCTGTAAGAGGGGGTGCGCCGTCTACGTATTTTGCTCGCGCCCAGTTTTGCGTTTTGCTGCCCCATCTGGATTTTGTTGGCGCACTTTTCACTGGCGTCATTCATTCCAGGCTTTGGTTGGCGACCAATCCTTGGCACATCCTCAAGCTATGCCTGCAGCCTGAGCGTCGCATTGTGTGAAACCATACGGCTCCGAAGACATGTAAGAGATACAGTACGCTAGTAGCGATGAACATGTGAAGGCTTGACCAGTCCAAACAGGATTCTGCAACAATTGATTGGTGTTGAATAACGTGCTTGCCGGATACATATCACAGATAAGACTATATAGATAGAACAGAAATTTCGAAGGACAAAAAAAGAAAACTTTCCTAAGGTAAGGTACGATCCTTACCCTTAACTTAACCCCAACACTTTTTGTCCTAGGATCTAGGACCAAAACTCACTTAAGTACGCCGTATTTAGCAGGGTTTGTCCTAGAACCAGCAAAAAGGACTTTGTGGTTGTATTGGAGGAAATAAGATCCAGGTAAGTACGATGGTGTCATGTATAACAAATACAACAACTGTTCGAGTGGTGAAGCCCTATACTGAACTCAAGTCATTTTAAGGAATTTGTCCTAGAATCCAGGACAAAAGAGAAATATAATATGTTATTAATGACACCTTTCAACTGTAGCTTTTGCCGTTATGAACAATGGTGGACACTACGCATAGCAAAGGATTAAAAAAGGAATCAAGGCTTCTCTCCGTACCAATAAGATGGCTTATCTTTCAAAAACAACGCCAGCGTAAGCTTCTAACTTTTGGTCCTTGTTTTTGTCCTTGATTTGGCGGGTGTTGGGGTTAAGGTTTTCATGTCATCACAATAATAACATCCTTACATATCTCCAACATTATAATGTACAGTAACCGTATGTTCAACTCGTACAATAGGTTCACAGACAGCCATTGTTTTTGTTGTGGTCGAAAAATCGGGACGGGTGCTATCATCCATTCGTTATAGAATTGTGTTGATGAGTCGACAAGGTGTATACATTCATTACAATCACAATGCTCTGTACTGTATCCTCGGCACAGCCTTGAACTGTGCCTGCTGATGCAGCGTCGCATTGCCGGAGAGTCTTCCGACTCGGAATCCGAGCTGTAGGTACCGAATAACCTTAGTTATGGGATACAACCATGTACGCGCCATGGGGCTGGTCACGCTGGCTGGTGCTGGTTATCGGTCCGGTGAGCGAAGGGGTAGGCGAACTACTCGGTTTTGACTCTGTCTGCTTTTTGTCCAAAATGAACAAAACATAGGCACTTTACTCAAAACCCGAGAACCACCTCGGCGATTGAGTTCTCGGGTTCTTGGCGAATTGGCTAGGTTTTGTTCATTTTGGACAAAAGGCAGACAGTCAAAACCGAGTAGTTCGCCTATCCCTTCGCTCACCGGACCGAGAACCAGCACCAGCCAGCCTGACCAGCCCCTTAGTTTGAAGAGATTATGGTTGGTGTAAAGAAGAAGACCTCCGCGTGCAAGTAAGCTCCCGACAAGTGCAAAGAGCTTCGACTCTTTTTTGTTCAAGATAAAAAGTAAAAAATGTATAACTCCGCAAACATGTAAGCCAGATTCACAACCCACTAACAAACAGTTTGCAAACACTAGTGTTAGCTATAATTTACAGTTAGTGCTTGTGCGAACACTAGTATCTAGCAGTAGAAAAGAAAAGCTACTACTAGCGAGTCCACTGACTGTTTTTGATACAATCTAACGAACATTTCGTCTTCTAAGAGCACAGAACCAGTCTGGTGGCCGCAAATTGTGTTCCGAATAGCTTGAAGATTCGGAGAGGTAAGGCCGAATGCGTATTGGTTCCTTCGCTCTCGGGAACTTTTTTTCTGACTTCTGAGAAAGAGCTTTCTGAAACCCGAGGAGAATTGTGCCTGACTGCTACAGTGACTATTTTTGTACTCAACTATACATTACATATGGTCACATGTGGAATGTACTTCGAGTCCAATTCGGGTCCAATCGTCGCACCCTTCGCTGTGGTACGGGGCTCAACGGGACCCTACTCAAGTCGATTGCGGAACGCGCCACCCCGCTACGATCCGGTGTGCATCCTGATCGCATATAAAGGTAAAATTTACTTCGCAGTGTGATTTCTCCGGCTTAAGCGCCGACCATTGCCGATTCCCTCCGCTCCAGTTGCGACCGGCCTCTCTACGGCCTCACCAGGCTTCGCAGGGTTGGCGTCGCAGCGTTTCCTCACAAATCAACGGCTGCAAGAGCGTCCATCGCTGAAGTACATGTACCTGCAGCAGTTTGAAGGGTTTACTCAATTTTCTGAGAAGAATATGCTTTCCTCAGAGATCAGCAGCGTTTCCTCATTTATAAGGCTTCATCTACCAAAAAATAGCAAAATATAAGAAGGCAAACCTTGCTCGAGATCTTTTGGATAATGCAACGTCTATCTATGCTATTATCTAGAATTCATTCACCCCTATCGTTTTTTTTACTTCATCCGCAGACTAGCGCACCCGGTTCGGTGTTTATTACTGATTCACAGCGGTTTAACATACTTCCATATAGGGCACCGCAGTCTGTTGTATTATTTGAAATTATGGAAATATAATAACGTGTTGTAAATTGTGTTCTTGAGTAGTATCTTGTGTGTTACCGTTGTCGTGTTATCGTTGAGTGTGCTGTCCCAAAGATGAGCTTACCTTTGATCGAGGAGCACGTTTTATTTTCGTTATTGACGCTGTCACGACTTGCTTATCATTCCTGCAAGAAAAAAGTCCGTCTATATTACTGTATCCGTACACCATATGGGATGCGGATGGTACAAACTCCTTACATGGATGTACAGTAGTACAGCACATGTACTGTAGTCGGCAAAGCTTGCAAGGTTACAAGGGGAAGTACTCACCCAACATAAAATAGGCATTGCTCCGGGAGGGTACACAGGTCGGCGAATATTTTCATGGACGATGATAGCGGATAACAATTGAGTAAATCCCAAAGTTGTGTTGTTTTTAATCCTTTTAAGGATTTTAAAAGAGCACTACCAGCCGAACTCTCTAGTTGATTCTAATGTGGGCATCTACTGCGCCTGCTTCGCAGCCGCAGCATCTGCCCGGGAATAACACTCTGGTCAGCGTCCAATGGCTGCGTTGACGCCAGCAACGAGAGAGCTATTTCATTCAGTTTGCAGGTAAGGTATACTGTGCTCATTTAGTACTATGTTGTGTGCTAACGATCAGACGAGAGAGCTAGCGGAACGAAGGAGAGATGCATGGTGCGCTGATCTTGACCTTTTAACTTGAGGGTAAATTGCGGAATGAGAAATGCGTTAATGTACCAAGTCCTTGGAAGTGGGCGCTTCAACACAGGTAAAGAAAGCCTAATTCAAACGAACGATGCTCGGTTGGTTTGGCGAGAGACACGAGGTTGGGCATCTTCGGCTAAGTGATTGAGTATTGAGCAAATTGACATGTAAAAAATGCAGCCTGCAGCTAGACAAGTCATATTGGTCATCTTCAGCTAAGCTTGGTCGATTATGGCGCAAATTGATACGCCTTCAGCGAGGCCATGACGCTCTCATAGTGTACTGGAGCTTCCATAACTGTTTTGAACGCAGGTTTTGGTAAAGAATGAACGATTAGTATAAACCTTTGGTAAATAATGTGCATAAACATTAGTATTTATCGACGGGTACCCGATTCCGGCAGATATTAGCTTAAACATTACAATTAAGAAAGAGGGACCCGGTTTGGTACCCGGTTTTGGAAAGTTACAAGTTTTTTGCCGGGGCCAAGCACAGGTCTTCGACCTGTGAAATAAGCTTAACTGCACAGTTGCTCTATAGCGTTGGTGATGTACCGAATGCTTATGGAAGCGCATTAGACATGATGGAAATGTCCAAAGCCCATCGTTCTCGGAGCCGTATTGTTTCGGACGATGCGACGCTCAGTCGGCAGGCACAGTTCAAGGCTGTGCCAAGGACTCGTTGGCAGTGAAAGCCCAGCATCGTGAAACAGGAAGGGATGAATACGGTTCTGTACACCCCGCAACTCAAAAACACCAAACCAAACCATCGTTAACACTCCAGCTCATTTCCGAATTTGCCAACTAGCGGCAAATGCGTCTCTTCCAGTTCTTCGCGCTCGCGGCCGTCGTCGCCCAGGCCTCGGCAGCATCCAAGTCTACCGTCAAGACCCGCCTGAATGGCTGGTTCAAGTGCACCGACTTCACTTTCTCCGACGAAGGAAGCTCGACCGGGCAGTACACCGAGTGCGCTACCTTCAATGCGCCCTTGTGCTACCCTGGAATCTGTAAGACGCCAAAGTTCGCCGATCCAACCATCGACGTGTTCGTGAAGCGCATGCCGGCCACCAACGCCGACCTAAAAACCGCTACGAACGTTTGGTTTCTGGAAGGAGGCCCCACTTCATCCACTGCCAGTAAGTGTGTTCCGTATTATTTCGTCACTTTTGTCATTTTTCTCTGACTTTGGCTGTGACTATCGTTTCCAGTGGAATCTTCTATGATTGACGTGCTCAACTAACTAAACGGCACTGCGAATATGTACACTATGGACTACCGCAGTCTTGGTCGCAGCAATTATCTCGACTGTATTGCCTCGCAGGCTACTACCACGGGATCTCCGTCCGGTAAGGCCTTCGACTCGTCAGAAGTTCCGGCTTGTGCTCAGGAACTGCAACATAAGTACGGTGACCTCGCTGCCTTCTTGGTGACAAGCTCCGCCACGGATTTGGCGATCTTCATCGCCAAGTATACGAACAGTGCCAATACCATCTTGTATGGTGGCAGCTACGGGACACTGTTTGTGGAGCGTGTGATGCACTTGAACCCCCCGAAGGTAACGGGGTACGTTTTGGATGGCGTCGCCACAGCGTCGGGGGCTTCAGCGGACAAGTTCTTCTACATGTCCAAACGTGACGTTGATTTTGGTATCGTCGGCGACCGCTTCTTGGCGCTGTGCGCGGAAGACGCTACGTGTAGCAGTCACTTCAAGAAGCCCAACACGCTGCCGACAGCCCTTCGAGGCTTGGTGAAGGACTTCGGCAAAGACCCAAACTCGACTTGTGCGAGTCTTTTGAAGGACGTGAAAAATTACGGCGAGGTTCCACCTTCGGCTACCCTTACGCTCATGCTTGGCACGATGCTGATGGATGATGCGCTACGGAAGCTCATTCCTCCGGTCGTTTACCGCATGAAACGTTGTGACTCGAATGACGCTGAGGTTCTGCGCCAATTCATCGCACACTACAACACGTACGCCGGCGCAACCTCCCAAGACGGCGCGTTCGACTCCCCTCTTCTTTCCAACCTCATCGATTACTCGGAGAGTTGGGAGCGCCCGCAGCCTGCGCAGGCTGAAATGGAAAAGCGATTCACGAACGCCCTGACTTCTGCTGGAGCATACGCGCAGTCTGAGGAGTACTGTGCCTTCCCCAAGGAAAAGTCCAAGGCGTGCGACGAATTCAACGTCGGCAACTACCCTGCGAAACCCATCACCTACAAACGCGACCAGTACTGGAACAAGACCGCCACGATCCCCAGCCAGGCCAGCGTGCTGCTCCTCAGTAGCAAACTGGACGCTCAGACGTTGCACGAGTACGCCGAGGCGTTGCTGGAGACGCTGGATGGAGACCAAAAGGAGATGGTCACCTTCAACACCTCTATCCACGGTGCCCTCGTGTGGACCTCTTTGGATTCGGGTAGTACTTGTGGCGCGAAGATCCTGGCTTCGTATGTGAAGAACAACGGCAAGCTCAAGGGGCTGGACAAGTCCTGCGTGGACGAGATGCCCGCGTTCAAACTGACGCTCCCCGTCGAAGATCAGACCATGTACTTCAGCACCGATGACGTGTATGATGGCACCTTCAACTCCAGTCTGGGGCAGTAATGTCGATGACCCCCGGGAAGTGATCGACAAGCGCGAATACGGTAGACACCATTCCATCAACCAAGTGAGCGGCTACCACACAAAAAAAAATCACGAAAAAAACTGTCCACTCCTTCATGACTTGTGTTTTTGCACGGAACTCCGTGTGTTTTTGCAGTGGGCATACTGAGCGCGGCGCTCAGAGCGCCAGAGCGGCGATGGTCCCGTGCAGGGCGCGTGGATACTGGAACCAAGTCCGAACGGCAACTTGTGTTTTTCGAGGGAAATCCGAGTGCTTTCGAAGAGCACTCGGAGACGCGCAAAACGCTACAATGCCCAGAAATGCAAGACTCCGTCCTTCTCCTCGTTCGTCCCTCTCCTCGTTCTCTTCGTCCTCGGGTTGTGCCGCCGTCTTCTTCTCCCAATACCTCGCTTTCGCCCTCTGGCGGGCTTTTTTGCGGCAATCCTCACATAGCTGAAGAAGCCGCCCCCAGGCTTGGCCTTCGCGGAGTTCCCGCATTGGCTGCAGATGCCGGGTTGGCGTGGACGCTGTCGCCGTCGGATCCCGTGCGAGGCGTTGAAGTCCAGCCTGGCCCACGGCGAGCGAGTTGTTGCCGTCTGGGAAGAATCCATAGGATAATAAACATTTGTCCGCTGTGAGGTGGACTCGGATATTGGGATAGCAGTGGAAACATCAGCTGCTGTCGGCCATGAACTTTGTGTCGACTCAGTTTCAGGCTTCCTCGTGTTTGTCCCTGCGACGCGGTGCATCTTGACTGGCTCCACAGCTCTAGCTCGTATCTTGCGACGATAGCGGAATCGGCACTGCAGAGTTCGTACAGCAGTCAGGAAACGGAAGTACTTCCTCCGCTGGGAGGTCATCAGCAGGAAGCTCAGCACTTTTTGAGCCGACGTTAAGTGCTTTTTGTCTCTGTCGATGGACTTTGTAGCGGAACGCGATCTGCAGTGTCCGAACTGCGTGCCGAAAACGCAAGTATCGCCTCCGTATCATTAGACTGAGGACAGTGTAAAATACTTTCCTGCACGCTTGACGTCGCCGATCAATGCGAACAGTCTCCAGTGACGTTCCCGTTGAAAGCCTAGGTACCTCTGCTGGTACAATCCAAAGTGGTTCACCCGTAAGCGTCCCAACACCTGCAAATACCTGAAGGTGTTTGATAGCATCAGTCAGATCCATGCGCTTAGAAGGCTCAAAGGCGCATAAGGTCTACACAAAACTCCATTCGACATCGCTCGTGAACTGTTGCGGTCGAGGAATAAACTGCCGATGCCGAAGATGATCCATGACAGCAGCGTCGGGGAGATAGACTCCCCATGGCACGTCGTAGGTCAAGGCCTCCACCACACACATCCCAAACGAGTACACGCCCGACTCAAATGTTGGGATCTGGCTGTTGCAGCCAAGACATTCCGGAGCTCTCCACCGGATAACGCCTCCAGAGCCCGTAGGCTTCGACCCCGACGAGACAAACCTAAACCCAAAGTCCGTCAGTTTGGCGACTCCTTCGCCACTCACCAGGATCTGGTTGCATTTGAGGTCTCCATGGACAATCCCATTCTGGTGCAGATACTCCAGTCCCAAGGCCGCCTCGAGCAGCTTCTTCCACGTGAGCGTCCGTCCGTCCGCCTTCTTCTTGTCCAGGTAATCCACCAAATTGCCTTTCGCAGCCTCCTCACAGATGAAAAAGCACGGCTGGCAGTCGTAACAAGCACCGAAGAAGTTCACAATGTGTGGGTGACGAGCTCTGTGCCAGATCCGCGCCTCTCGCAGGAACGCCTTCTTCTCCCGCGGCGAGGACACTGTCACGCACTTGATGACGACTTTCGAGCCTCGCCAAACCCCTCGATAGACCTGTCCGAACGAACCTGAAGCAAAGGGTTTGGCTTGACGCTGAACTTCGTGGCGTGGAACAAACCACTCTGGGATCTCGGGAATTGGGGCGCCGGACATCCGTGCTATGCGCTTTGAGGCTGCTTCTAGGAGTTCCTGAGATTGGGCGCTGTATCTCGCCTTGTGACGGAGACTTTCGCTGTTCAGCAGCAATAGAGCTCCGGTCTGTGAGGTCGTGTCCGGCAACTCTCGGGACAAATCGGACGAGTTGGATTCCCATGAATTTTTGAGTCGGTTCTCCACTTCCAGAACGGCGTCGTCCCAGCGTTCTCTCCAGTTTGTAAGGATCGAGATGGACTGCGCCGGCGCTAAGGGGGTTATCACTTCGTCAATCTCGTTGTGGAAGCCGCGTAGCAGCCCCAGGATCGTTCGAGTGCTGGCCAGCCTGACAACGGACGTCTGCTTCGTGTGCTGAACCAGTGCCAACACTGCCCGGGCATCTTCTGTCTCTTGATGCCGAGTCCGGCGCGCTTCTCGTCGCTCTTGCTCTGGGCGGCTCGGCATTCTCTGCACTTGCTGTACAGCCCGCCGTCGGGGTTTTCAGCGCAATCTCGCTTGAGGCACTGCATGCACTTCCCAGGCTCTCTCGACTGGATAGCCTCGCTTGAGCCGCGCATTTTTCCCTGCATGCAGCACACGCGGAGTGCTTGTCGCTTGCAGGTTTCTTCTTGTTGCAGTGGCCGCACCTGCCTTCCTCCTGTCTCTGATAATACTTGAACTGTTTCTTGCGCCGGCACGCGATGCACGTGCTTTCACCGTCGGCGAGAGCTCCAGCCCTGCACTTCATACAGATGGCGGCCAGCTTCAGCCTGATGTAATCGGCCGCGTTGGCCTTGCGGGCCTTCTCCTTCTTCTCTTCCTCGATGATGGCGCCCCCTTCCTCGTCCACGAACTCCCCGAGAACCAGCTCTTCGGGCGCGAGCTCCTCGCTAACCAGCTCTTCGGGGGCGAATTCCTCGCTGGCCTGGGCGGCCGCCAGCTGCTTAGCGGCCGTGACGAGGGCCTCCTGCTCCCTGACCCACTCGTCGTCGATCTCCATGAACAGGACCTCCTTGGCCTGTGACTCTTCAAGATTCTTCCGAACTACATAGCATCGAGCAACAGGTTAACAACAGTGCACAAACAAAGAGTTAACATCACAAGTTACCTGCATCAAACATGAAGTGGTAGGTGATGCTCTCATAGGACAGGTTTAATCCTTGGAAGGAAGGGTTGACGGATCCACTCGAGGACATGACATCGTCCACAATAATCAACTGCAATAACAGAGTTAACATAAGACAACCAATGCAACTTTAAGAGAGAGCATTACTTGCCTTGACGTGTTGAACCCTGCTCCGCTCCTTCGGCACGAGGATTCTGATCTTGGCCCCTTTCTTCTGCTCGGCCAGCAGCTTCTTCATGAGCGGCAGCTCAAACGTTGCCATCGTCTGCCTCCAGTCGAGCATGAGCGTGATGCAAACCTTCAACTCCAGCAGCACCAAGAGGCGCCCCAGCCCCCCGAGGTCCGTTAACGAGAACGCCTCAATGCGCAGCGTGTGTCGCGGTAGCTGGAATCGGAACATATAGTCCGGGCAGAACTTGGGGTTTTCACGCGAGTAGTCCGTCCGTTCAGGCGGCAACGCCACCACCTTCTTGTAGATGGAGTAGAACGTAGACGGCTTGATGTTGAACCGGAAGGCGCACTGCGCCAGGGTCAGATCCGGCTCCTTGGCGAGCAGCTTCTGGAGCTCCATGTTGACCCGGATGGGCTCGTGCTTGGGCTCCGGGGCGGGCCCGCTCTTGCTCCATGGCTCGCCCTTCACGTACTTCTGGTAGATCTTCTGCACTGTGCGGTAGTCGCGAGTCGGCTGCAGATGAGCGGCCACTTCCTTCAAGTCGCTCGGCGTGGGGGCCCGCTCGGCGCGGATGAGGGGCATGAGCTTCCGGGTGATTTTGACAGTGCTCCGCCGGAAGGACGCGGGGCGCGAACTGCACGCGCTTCTTACTGGACCGCTAGCCCGATCCAGTGCTCACCTTGCGCTTGCCTGCCATCTTTGCGCTCCAGGGAAAATTCGATTGTGAAGGCACAATGGACTGCGCCATGTACAACCAGACAATGGGCGAGTTCTCGCTCGGCCTCTTCGACGTTCCCTCGGAGAAATACTGGATCGGTGATGTGAGCTTCTCAATGAGCATTTCCAGTTCAGTAAAGTCACCGCATGTACAGGCCAGCAGAGATGGCGATATTAGCGAAGGACAACAGAGCCAGGAAAAACACCAAGAACGGGTCGTTCTGATCAAAGCTCTTGAATTCCACACCCTCCGCAGCTTCAAGCGCGCATGCTAGGAAATCCACGACCACCTCGACGCCCAATTGGAGACCGCTCATAGACCTCATCTGGCGCTCTTGCAACGCTGCCGTTGTGTCTTCAGAACCAGCGGCTTCATCTCCTAACAGCAGGCTGAACTGGAACTGCGGATGATCGTGGTAGAAGAAGAGAATCCCGTACGAGCAGCCGATCGCTATGTACTCCGCATACATGTCGGAATAGATTTCTGCAGCGTGGAGCACTCGACGCTTCTTCCGGAGTTCTTCCGCTTCTCTGCGTGCCTTCAGGGATGCGGTTCCACTTCTCACTCGCTTGGTGGACTCCGTTTTAGGTGCAGGTGCCACTTGCACTGCATTTGTGCGTGTGGTGCTGGCTGTCAATCTTGGAGGTGCGCTATCGAAGGTGGAGAACCGATCCCTGGGAATCGGAGCACCGCGCGTCTGCCTCTGCACGATGAATGACTTGGCAGCTCGAACCATTATCTCGAACGTAGCCAGCAGTACAGTTCCCGCGACGGAGACGTTTGTGCTTGCTTGTCGAAGCAGTAGCATTCGCACTTGGGTATCGACGAGGATTGTCGGGGTCGCCACGAGAATTACCATGACTCTGCGTGACACGGGCCGTCGTGTAGCGATCAAAATATGCTTCGCCAGCTCTTGTAGTAGCAACTTGAGGACGATGCTGGTACTGGCAAACGCCAGTAGTTCCCACTGGCCTTGGAGGGAAACAAACTGGCTGATTGCGTGCACGTACACGATAGCAATGAGCACGAATAGCATCACTGGGAGATTTCGGGCATAAATCCTCAGGAATCGACGAAACGGCGGCTTCCAGTGTCGACGGTGGTGGGTTTGCTGGATCATGACGTCGCTGTGATATTTTGTCGATGCTTGTGTCTTCGAGGAAGGTTTGGGCGCTTGTCCGGTGGCAATCAGTCCGCGCACTGTTTCAGTCTGAAAGATATGCCGCACGAACACGTCAGCGATCACCATGATGTAGAACCCCCAGAAAGCCGCAATGTACACGCACGGCTTAAACCGATGCCACGATGCAGATACGATCGAGTACATCGCAAAGTCACCACCCACAACAATGACAGAAGACAGCACGAGATGTGGTCCAACGCGGACAAGGAGCTTGGCCGTGCACTGTAGAATATTCAACCTGTGAGTCACCGATTTGGTCGTGCTAGGTTGACTGACAAACTGCTCCGGTAGAAGCTTCGTAGCCATCAGAATGACCACACACATGGAGAACACGCCGTAGAACCACGCAATATTGGCAGCACTGAAGTTCGCGTACGACTGCTGCCCTGGAGGTAGCCCCGTGAAAACATTCCCCACGGTGAAGCAGTAGCTGAACAGCCAGCCCACAGCGATGCAGAGCAAAGAGTTGCGCAGGACGAGTGCTAGCGTCTCCAATGCGAGCCTTAGAGGTGGAATGCACGCATTGGGCACAGACCATAAACCCATCTTGCTTCGTTCCCCTGCTCACGAGTTTAGCATCAGAACATGCAAACAATGTCAGCAACTCACTCACCAGAAATAGGTAGACGTAATTGGACTGACGTACAAGTACCGAAATTACAGATATGAGAGGCATCATTGGTCCCCAGTTGTCCGTCCGCTAGTCAGCCTTTTCGCAGCAGGGACGGCGCCCATTGAGGTTTGACGTCAATATATTACCACTACAGTATAGCGCAGGAGTAATTTAGTCGCTACTTCGAGTATCGCCGAAGTGAGATACTCGACCGCGTATCGCTACGGTGAGAATACCCGACGGTAGTACAACTACTCGCGAGCATCGTCGACGAATACGATAGACTGCGTCGTATCCTTATACTTTGCCTTGGCCCCACCATTTATCACACGACGATAGCCGGTGGAGCCCCGACCTGTTCGCTTAGCGACAACTCCAGTCGTAAAGTACAAGAAGACGCCTGCCGCCACGAACACCAGCAGACTCATATTCCAGCCGAGAGGCAGCCCCGCGCTGAGCTGCTCGGCCAGCAGCTCGGACTCTATAGAGAACGTCACCTTGCGTTGCAGCGCCTCCAGGTACAAAAAGGCGCCCGTGAGCCACGCCACCAACTCCGGTGGGCTGCTACGCCCCGCGTTCGCCCCGGATCCATGCCGCGACAAAACTGGTTGCTTCTCAAAATGCTCAACGAAGTGGATGCGCTCATCGTCGTCTTGGACCCCCATCCGCTGGAGGAGCACAATGGTGTAGCACAGATCGAGACACAGCTCCCTCTCGTTTTCCATGGTAGAACCGAGCGCGGACGATCCCGTTGCAGACAGCTGAGATGACGCTGCGCCAGCCACTACGTCCTTATACGGCAGCGCGCAAATACTCTTGGCAGCATCCTGGAGAGCTGGAAGTGTTGGCGTGGGCAGCTGCAGCTGAGCTAAATTATTCTCCTCCTGTTTGTTACCGGCATACTCCAATACTCGATTCGCAGAGATCACGGCTTCTCTCAGCACTCCCGAGGCGTAAAACGATCCAAAGCCTTGAGGCTGCGGAGCGCTGCCCAGGAAGCAAAAGTTTTGGGACGGGCAGTTGGTATTGCTCGAGGCTACGTGCGACTCTAGCAGCGTCATGCACTTGACAGCGTCACCAGAGCCTCCCACCGTCACGTTCACACCTTCCACCACTGTTGTTTGACCTGCTAGATAGCACGGGTGCTGCAGCGTGTCCGCGTCTGCCATGTCGGCCTGCTGCTGCTTCAACTCGAGCTTCACCACCGCCTGCCGCACTTGGCTCCGACTGAATCCTGGGTACTCGCGCCCGTAGAAGTCGCTCGTGTTGAGCGCCACGTTGACCTGTCGCTGTCTCTTGCTGCGTCTCCAGCGCTCGCGCACGTCGAACACCATCTCGGCCGCGTCCGCGTCCGACTCGGACGTCGTTGTCCCCGCGCGTCCTCCAGCGTCCACGTGGAGCACGCCGAAGACTTCCACCTGTCCAGGACTGAGCGACGGCGCCACGTGGCCCGAAAAGTAGTTGGTCCCCACCACTGAAAAGTAGCGGCGCCACGCGGGCGTCACCACGCGCAGGTCGCCACTGGACGTGACGCTGTCGGCGTCGGCGTCGGGCGCCGGCACGTTAAGCGCGAAGGGGAAGCGGCCGTCGCTGCGCGCGCGGTCCCGGAGCTGGTCCAGACGTCGCGTGACGCGCGCGGCGGCCGCGGTCTTGGCTCCGCCCTGCGTCCTGAAGTTCGCCCCCAGCTCCGACTCGGCCAGGACGAAGTGCGCGTAGCACAGCGCCGGATCCACGCGCGGCTTGAGCCACTCGGCCGCCTGCTCGAGCGCGGGCCACAGCGTCTGGTACGCGTCCTCCGCGCGCTTCTTCTCGTCCTGCGCGTCTGCAGGCGCGGCGTCCTGCAGCACCGAGGCCAGCGCCGGCGACTGGTCGTACACGTTGATGTTGTCCTGCTCGTAAGCGTTCTGCAGCGCCAGCACGCGCGTGTGCGTCCGCGCCGCCACCACGAACACGCGACAATGCGCGCGGGCAGGCGGCGGCATGGGCGCGCCCTGCGCCGCGGCGCTGCGACGGACGGCGGCCTGCGCGTGCAGCAGCATCGCCGCCGCCAGCAGCAGCAAGACGCGGAGGAGCTCCCACATGTAGTGAGTGAATCAGAATGAGAGCGGAGCGTGAACATGGATCAATTTGGTGTGGCGTACACGAGTGGTCTCCCTCTATTAGCATAACGGCTCCTCTCAGTCTCCAAGCCAAGTCAAGCCGACGATGGGCGAGTCGTCGGGGCCGCGCTTCCTGCTGCGCGCGTGCGTGTTCCTGCTGGTGCTGATCGGCAGCCTGGTGCAGCTCGTGTTCTTCGCGCTGCTGCCGCAGATCCAGCTGCACACGGAGTTCTGCAACGCGACGCTGGCCTCGCGCTCGCTGCTGGCGCCCACGCCCACGAGCGCCGAGCTGGCGCCGCCCATGAAGCTGCTGTTCCAGTCGCTGTACGTGTCGCCGCGCGAGCTGGCGCTGCAGCAGAAGGAGGAGGAGCGGAGGCGCAACGAGGCCACGGCGCAGGAACCCAAGCAGACCATGCGCGGCAAGAAGAAGCCGCAGGACGCCGACGGACTGGACGCGCGTGGCCAGGGCGAGACGTTCCAGGCCGAGACGCTGGCCGAGAACCACGCGCTGCGCCTCAAGCTACTGGCCGAGAGGGAGGAGGAGGCCGAGCGCGAGCGCCAGATGAGTCTGCCGCCCGGCTTCTTCCTGCAGACGCGCGGCCAGGGCCACGAGGCCATCAGCTCCAAGTCCGCCTACTGCATCAACGTGGTCACGCCCAGCGACTCGCCCGGCGTGCTGCTGGACTTTGAGCTGTACCTGAACGCGCTTCCCTCGGCCAGGCCCGTGTACGCGTACAGGGGCAACGGTGAGCAGGAGAGCGACAGCTACAGCGACTGCGACGGTCAGGCCGTCAAGCGTCTGGACATGCCCCCGTCCGTGATCGACATTTACCTCGAGCGACACCCCGTGGACAGGAAGTACTACCCGGACTTCCACGCCCCCAAGGAGAAGACCATCTGGATGATGCAGAACGTCGAGTTCTTCGACCGCCACGAGCTGGCCAACCCGACGGTCGGCGTCATGATGGTCAAGAACCGCATCGGCCTCAAGAAAGTGCTCGAGTACAGGCATCGACACCAACTCTCGTACTCGGTCTTCTACACCAAGCACACGAGCCGCGACTTGTACCAGCCGGCGGTGCAGCGCGACTGGACGTCGTTCCTGCATCTCGCAGGCTGGAGTCCGTTCAAGAACACGCGCGTGATTCTGCAGGCGTGGGCGCTGCATCCCGAGTGGCCCCAGCTGATCATCCGAGTGATTAAGGCGGATTTGTGCGCGTGGATCGAGGAGCAGTTCGGAACGAAGGAGACGTGGCGGCTGCAGAATGTGGACTACGCGTGTGGATCGGTGCCTGCTGAAGAGAAGGACAGGTTGCAGAACGAGATTGGCCTCCACCTGTGCCCGAGCGAGACGGAAGGGTTCGGCCACTACATCAACGAGGCTCGCAGTGTCGGCGCGCTTATCCTGACGACGAACGTGCCGCCGATGAACGAGCTGGTGGACGAGAAGAGCGGCGTGCTAGTAGGGGAGCCGCACCCGTGGTGGTGGCAGACAAAGGGAGACTTATTTATGCCGCTGGCGCAAGTGGACGTCGCCGACATCGAGCGAGGGGTGGAGCAGATTCTGCTGCTCTCCATAGAGGAGCGTCAACGGATGGGCCGGCGGTCTCGAGCCAAGTTCCTCGAGGACCGCGCCTACTTCCTCAACGCTATGACTGCACTGGAAGAGAGCCTCTGCCAGGACGAGATCCGGATCGAGAAATTACAGCCCTATCTGTACTAGTGACCCGCGCGCGTCGCGGGACTGCTCGACGATGACGTCGAGCTCGGATAGATAGAGATATAGCACCTGCCTGGCAGTCTAGCTTGTAAGTAGTAGCATAGTTATCCCCCTATGACCCTGTCCGGCCTTGCCTGCCATGTCGGGCGAGCAAGGTCGTGAGTACCAGACAGATCACGCACTTGATAGAACCAGCTTCCCTCAATTGACTCATTGCCCAAATGCGGCAAAGCTAAACGTCGACTTGAAAACAAATTCACACCACTTGGTAGATTATGATCGTCATATCCGGGCTCAACACCCCCCTCCGCACGAGAGTCTCTCGAGCTTATACATACATGTAAGGTACCTATCAGAACACGCTTGAAGATCATTCACACGAAGACGACTACGCTTTGTCTTGGATAACTCCAGCTGCCTTCAGCTCGCGTCTGCGCTGGAACCGTGCCCGCAATACGCCTCGGAACAAGTCGACGGCAGCTTTGGAGAGAGCCACGGCTACCATGGGGTTCTCCGTCTCAAGACGCACGAGGTTTGGAGCGATGACGATGGCGAGTTGGTCCACACCCATGTGGTTGTGCGGTTGGTACTCGGCCACGAAGGCCAGCAGGTCGGCTAACCACAGCACGATGCTGCGCTCCAGGTCGCCCAGCAGACTCAGCACCTCGAGCTCAGCGTTGTCAGCGGACGCGAGACGCTCCATCTCGCCTGCGGGTATTTCGTGCAGAATGGGCACGGGCAGCTCCCGGAACCAGAGCTTGATGAGGTCGGCCAGCACTCGGACGTCGTGCTTGGCTCCTCGGAAGGCGCCGCAGTTGATGTCGATCATGGCTTGGTCGCGCTCGGCCTTGCTGGGCGATTCTCGGAAGATGTGCGGCGTCAGATACCCCTGCTTGGCAACGAAGTGCTGCTGCAGCATGACCAGCACGGCCGGGACCCTCTCGTCGTAGCCCGGCACGGCCACGCGCGGCACCTGTCGGAACGGCAGCTTGAAGTGCTGGTTGAGTATTTTTACCGGGTCGTTGCTGCCGACGGGGTCCAGACTGCCGAACATGCTCGAGAGGCTCAGACTTCCGGGCGGGGCCGAGCTCGTGCGCGTCCGTTTGGCGCGGCGCCTGGGCTTGAGCACCGGCGATGCCGCGTCCAGCGCGCAGACTGTGTCGGCGCGGCTCCGCTCCAGGACGCCCGACACGAGGTAGTCGGCGAAGTTGTCGGGGATGCCCTCGAACCTGGCCTCCTGGAAGTTGTAGTGGATGTGCACGTCGTGCTTGAAGCCGTAGGGCGAGCCGATCTCCAGGAACGCGGCGAAGTCCTGCTCGCCGTCCGCCTGCGGGGCGTGCGACGGGGACGACGGCGAGCCGCTGTCGGCCTTGACCGTCGCGTGTTCAGGGAGCTGGATGTTCAGCATGGCGGTGGCGTGTGCCTCTTGTCGGGCTTGTGGCCGGGACTCGTCCGCTCGGATTGTGAGCCGCGGGATCTCGTCGGGCTTAAGCTGAGCACACGCAGACACACACGGCGAACATCTGAATAAGATTCCGGCATGGCGCGCGCGATCTTAGCGGCGGCGTGAAAGGGCGCGGTACCTGTGCAGTGCTGCAGTGCAGGCGGCAATTGGCTGGCGGGGGGGCGTCCGGCCGCGGTCTCTTTGCTTGCTTTAGGTCGGGTGGCCACCTTTCTCAGCTCGCGCGCTCGCTCGCTCTTGAGTTGACGGCGCAAAATGGTATGTTGGCCGAGTCGAACGGTGGGCTGCTGGCCGCTGCTGCTGGCCGCCGGCAGTCTTCTCGGGAGAAGAAGCCGGCAAGCGCGGCGGAAGGCGGGCCGTTTCGAAACCACCAGGAATAGCCTGCAATAGCAGACACTCGTTAAAGCAACTTGGGTTTGGGCAACTTCGTGCAACTTCATTTTGGGCAACTTCGGGCACCTTGGGCAACTTCGTGCAACTTCGAGTTTACCCTATTGTGAAATTCACGTGGATCTTCACGTGACGGCCTCATGCGCCAATTCGCGCCGTCGGCCACAGATGTGCGCGCAACTTCCTGCAGCGCGCTCCACACGATCATGTACGCCTAGCCGCTGCTGCAGCCGCACTGACATGTAGCTCTGATCTAACCCTGCTTGCGATGCTATGGCAGGGATAACGCTTCAACACAGTCGTAACGCGGGGGTTGGTGAATGCGCGCTTGCAAATTCACTCGCTTTCTCGGCACGTTTGGATAACAGAGACTTGACTGCGTGCAGCGCAACGACAATGGTCCTGTAGCGAGTTGTTCGTCGATGAGCACGTGGCACACATTCCGACGCGTTGTGATAAGGCCTTAAATGCAGCGGCGCGAAGGCAAAGACGCATTAAGGGGACTGTTATCGGTGGCGCTGATCTGATGTGGCTCATGTGCATGGCATATTGCACGGCACCACGTCGCCTTTTGAGCACAAGTGACCCGCAGTGGTAAGTAATCGGATGGACAGTGTGCGTTCGTTCCTCTATTGCCAGACTTTCGGGCATGTACGTCCACAAATGTTTGCCGTCTAACTGCTGTTTTTATATAGAGTATGGTTTGTGGCTGTTAAAAAACGTCCATGCGCCAACATATTGCGTAGCTCAGAGGCGAGAGGACTCGAGATTCGAGCGTTGAGCGGTGCGCAAGGTCTACTGGGCAAGGAGCTTAGTGGCTCACTACGACCTCGACCCAGTTGGAGCGCTGGATGTTGATGAAGCTGCGATTGGGCACGTTCAGCTCCTGACTCACGGTCTCCATCAGGATCGACGCCGTCTACAGCAGCAGCAGTAGCAACAGCAACGGCAAAGACGCTCATTAGCCAAGTATCGCTGGTTTTGGATGCCTCTACCTTCACCTAACGACGAAGCACCGGAAAATTTGGGCAGAGATACGATAACACGAGATACCAAAAGAAATATGTATGAGAACTATCGCGTTAAGGCTCTTCTGTAAGTTTAAAGTGGCTGAAGATTATACCGTCCTTTAAAACTATGTAGAGAGGTGGGTCGGTGGTGTGAACGTTAGCGTGTGAGCCAAGCAACCACGACAAAATGCATCAGCACTGACACGGGGGCCGATGATCCCAACGCGAACTATGTAAGGTAGGACATTTTTTTACTGCATGTATTTACTACTAGCCTTGTTATGTTTTGAACGGTATCAAAATGCCACTGCGGCCATACAGTCATCGTTGCTTAGTCACGGCAACAAGGGCAACCTGCAGGTATGGTATACTGTACTTGGACGTTTATTCTAGGTCCACTACTAGAAGAGCGGAAACTGTGAAGCATGGAATTTCAGGACTAGCATGCAACGCAGAGATACGTGGACATCGAGAATACTTCATCAGTGTTCCACAAGTACTCGTCACGTAGAAGATAGCGAACTATCTACTTCAAGTACTTAAGTTTTAATTATGTATCCCGAAGATTGAGCTTGGAGATACTTCTATCATTAATGGATACCTGAAACGGGGTTTCATGGAATAGTGATCCTGTCACTATTCCGGGATGGCTACATCGGTCACTCCCCTGGATAGTGACCCAAGTGGCCTCAGAGCCAACAGATACATTTTGTATGACACAAACTATAGAGAACTTAGGATTTGTATGCAGGCCAAATCTGTACCAACCTATAAATACAGTCAGTCTTAGATCTACCGCTTTTCAAGTCAAGTCGTCCCCTTCAGACCAGGGACACGTGAACGGCTGTTCACTTGGAGTTTGTATACTCCTGCTTCCTCTGTTAAGAAGTGCTGTGTGCCCCGTCACACTTGGTAGCACTTGTAGTCAATCCTACGCCTACGCGGGTAGATTGGACTACCTGAATCCTCTGTGGTCTCATCGAGTGAGCCAAGATGGATCGTACGGAGTTTCCCCATCTGAACGACTCGCAGTACGAGTCCGTTCGTAAGATGGCAGGCATCTTTGGGACAGATGCCCTGCGTAGCTTAGCGGCGGCGACGCCGGCTGAGCAGGTTGAGCGTATCAACGCGTTCGACACCTACGAGCGAGGGCTCATCGCCCACGTTCAAGGGCTGCAGGCCACTGCGGCCGCGCCGATGCCGGTGCAACCGAAGCCCTGTGGCTCTAGGGGTCGCTGGCAGAAGCCGCGCCCCAGGAACCAGGGGAACGCCGGACACCAGTAGGGGCGGGGCGCCCTACTGGGGAAACACTAAGTCTTCATGAGGGGCGTGCGGGTGGCGCACGCCATGGGGACTTAGCCCCTGAGAGTCTCTGAACTCTAGAAGCGGAGAAGGGCAGCGGTGGGCTGCTTGTGGTGCACGCGAGTGTACCGGGATACGATCATCCCTTGAGAATCTTGATCGACTCTGGGGCGTCCAAGAACTTTGCGCGCCGCCAGACTGTCGCACGCAATCGCGACAAGTACGCCGATGCGCTACGAGGCAGAAAAGGCAACGGGCTGGTCTCGGTAAGACTGGCCGACGGTACGGTGGTAGAAGTACCTCGGGTCCACATGGACCTCACTGTCAAGTTCGAGGACTTCGACAGCACGGAGCCGTTCTTGGTTCTAGACATGGACAAGTACGACTTGATCCTTGGCATGCCGTGGCTGGAGAAACACGAGTCTTGGATCGACTGGCGCGGCAAGGCCAGCGGGGCCAGCCGTCCCCCACGCTCTGACAGAGCTTTGGTCAGTCATGTTCCCACCTCTGCCAGCAGCTGGGGCGCCCGCGAGGGCCGCCAGGGCGCAGCAGCATCTAATGAGTTCTTGGGGTCCGTCGAGACTGACGACGACTCCGACCTGGCCGGACAAGGCCTGAGAGTGGAGGTGCCGGACAGCACCTACCAGGTGGTAACGTAGGTCCACACGCGGGTAACGAAGTACCGCAGGCAGCAAGGGCTGCTGGAGAAGGCGCCGCTGGTGTGGCGTGGGTAACCAAGTTCCACGCGAGGTCACTCAGACCGAAACTGATGCGGAAGGCACTGCAGGCGCTTCCGATGTGGGTAACATAGTTCCACAGGAGGTCACTCAGACCATAACTGATGCGGGAGTCGCTGGAAGCGCTCCTGGTGTGGGTAACCAAGTTCCACACGGCGAGGTGGGTAACATAGTTCCACCCAGCAAGGCGGGTAACCAAGTTCCGCTCAAGAACAAGGCGAGTAACCAAGTTCCGCTCAAGGACAAGGTGGGTAACGTAGTTCCGCACGAGATCGAGAAGATCGGTGGTGCCGTCAAGGCGGCGCCACGAGACGAAGACACCCGAGGGTCACGTCGTAAGCCGGGCCTAGTCGTGTGGCCGACGACGCCAGTCGCCAGCGACTCCGAGCCTCCAGCCAAGGCTCCAGCCGCCGAAGAGTGTTATCACATCTTCGACGGCGTGACCGGTAGTCGGGTCAAGACAGGAGCTGTCGAGCTTACAGCTCTGCCCGAGGTTTCGGAGTTGCTGAACCTTGAGGAGCTCGCCATGGAGGACTTCTTGGCCGAGCTAAAGGCCGGGGAGATCGCAGAGTTGGTTCTCCTCCGACCGGAGTCCACGTCGGCCGAGTTGAACTCGTCCTCGGTCATGGACCAGGCAGTCCTGGAGGAGTTCCAGAGACAGCGCGCGTCGCGCATGGGCTCTGAGATTCTTAAGAACCCCCAGGACCCGGTGTACCCCTTGGTGAAGGAGTTTGAGGACGTGGTGTCCAAGGATCCACCGTCCAATCTCCCTCCGGACAGGGGAATCAGGCACGAGATCGATCTCGTGCCGGGCACGAAGTACTGCGTCACGAGGCAATGGCCTCTTCCCCGGGAGCAGTGTGAAGTCATTGATGCCTTCTTTGCCGCCAAGGCGAAGGCAGGCATGGTGCGGGAGTCGAAGTCCCCGCACTCGACGCCTACCTTCTGTGTTCGCAAACCGAACGAAAAGTGGCGTCTGGTTCATGCTTATAACAAGCTGAACAGCGCGACAGTGCCTGCGCAGACACCGATCCCGCGCAAGGACGTGTTGCTCAACAACATGACCGGCTGCACGCTGTAAAGCGCGCTGGACCTGGTGGACGGATACTACCAGATCCTGATGCGCGAGAGCGACATCCCACTCACGGCTGTGAGCACGCCGAGCGGTATGCTCTGGGAGTGGCTGGTCATGCCTCAGGGGCTTTCTAACGCCCCGGCAACGTTCAATCGCTTGGTCACACAACTGTTTCGACCTTTGCGTGCGTTCACACAGACGTACTTTGACGGCATCTTCGTCCACAGCCGTGCCGAGGCAGGCCAGACGGCCATGGAGGTGCATCTCCAGCACCTTTGACGTGTGTTCGAAGTCATGCGGGCCAACAAGCTGTACGCCAACATCGACAAGTGTGTGTTTGCAGCTGAGGAGATCAAAGTCCTGGGCTGCTTCGTCAGCAGCGCCGGGGACCCGGAGAAGGTAAAAACCATCGCGGCTTGGCCGCCACCTCGGTCGCAGAAGGACCTACGACAGTGGTTGGGCCTCGCCAACTACCTGCACAAGTATAGTGCAGGCTACGCCGAGCTGGCACGGCCCTTGTCGGATCTCCTGAAGAAGGATGTCGACTGGCGCTGGGAGCGTCGCCATCAAGATGCTTTTAACGACATCAAAGCGAGCTTACAGCGCGCGCCAGTCCTGGCATTGCCGGACGAGACGAAGCCTTTCAGCGTAGTCTGTGATGCGTCTGACTACGCAATTGGCTGTGCGCTATTGCAGGCCGACGATGAAGGCCGCGAACGGGCCATCTCGTTCCAGTCCAGGCAGCTCAAGGCAGCCGAACGGAACTATCCAGTCCACGACAAGGAGCTACTTGCCATGAAGTACGCTCTTGTTAAGTTTCGAGTGCGCCTCCTGGGCTCGACGCCCTTTGTCGTTTATACAGACCACGCGTCCTTGCGGACTGCCGTCAACACGCCGCATCTCTCACAGCGGATGGCGCGTTGGCTGTCATTCTTCGCGGAATACAACTTCCGTGTCGAGTACAAACCGGGCAAGTTGAACGTGCTTGCCGACGCGCTGTCGCGCCGACCCGACTACAAGCTTGCTCATATTAGTCGGGTCACGACGGATCTGTATGATCGCATCAGGCTGGGGTACCGAGACGATGCCAGTCTCGAACCTCTTGTGCGGTTCTTGGGCGCTGGCTCGGAAGCCAAGGCCGAGTGGCTCACGCCCCGACAACGTGCAAGGCTGCACCGCTATGAGTGGGCTGACGGTTTGCTCCACTATAGGGTCGAGCCCGAGGATCCTCCCCGTATTGTCGTGCCCAACGACGAGGATCTCAAGTACGACATCCTGATGGAGGCGCACGACGCTCCATCCAGTGGCCATCTCGGCCGTGAGAAGACGTACGCGTCTGTCTCGCAGATGTTTTGGTGGCGTCACATGTACAAGTGGGTCGCCACCTACTTCCGTACGTGCGAGAGGTGCCAGCGCGTGAAGCCTGCCGGTCACGCCTCGGCACCATTGCAGAGCCTGCCGGTCCCAGCGGACTGCTGGAAGTCGATGAGTCTCGACTTTGGCTTCGGACTTCCGGCCGATGACCGTGGCAACACTGGCGTTGTTGCCTTCGTGTGCCGCCTGAGCAAGATGGTCCACTTTGCTCCAGTTCGTGACACCGTCACTGGCGACGAGGTCGCTCGTCTGTTCATGGACTGTGTCTTCCGACACCACGGGCTGCCCGAGACCATTGTCTCTGATCGAGACCCGCGGTTCACCGCTACGTTCTGGCAGACGCTGTTTCGCCTTCTCGGCACACGACTGTCGATGTCGACGGCGGACCACCCGCAGACGGATGGCCAGACGGAGCGCGTCAATCGCGTGCTCGAAGACACGCTCCGCAGTATCTGCGCGGAGATGCCCCACTCTTGGGCTGATCGCTTGCCCATGGTTGAGTTCGCACTCAACAATGCGGTACATGCATCGACGGGCTTTACGCCCTTTTACCTGAACGGGTTGCGCCACCCTCAGGTGCCGCTCACATTACGAGGCAGTCCCGGGGCTTCGGGCCTAAGTGGGGGAGAGGCTCGGAAAACCTTTTCCTCCCAAGTCTCGGACGTGAGTCCAGCCACCTTGCGGAAGCAACTGTCCTCGTTTGCCGAAGGCAGGCTGAACATAATCAGCAGGGTGCGAGACACCATGGCGCAAGCCCAAGATAAACTGAAGGAGTACTCTGACCGAAATGGAAGAGGAAACATGAACGTGTTTAAGGTTGGGGATTTAGTTCTCCTAGATACTAGAAACCTACCGCTAAACACTGTTAGCTCGGTCGAGAGCAACAAGCTGAAGCACCGCTTCATTGGACCCTTCACGGTCCTCAGCCGGCATGGCGAGGCGTACACCATAGACTTGCCCAAGTCGATGACGACTCACCCGACGTTTTACGTGGGTCGTCTTAAGAGGTACCATGACCCTCTGGCTCTGGCTGCCCCGCAGGAAGCGGTGGGTGGCCCGGTGGAGAAGAGCGCAGCTCCTCGAAGCGCGTCGTCGAGTCGCGGTAAGGTGCCTGATACGCGCGCTGGTCGTAAGACGGCGCGGCGTACATCGGAGCAGCATACGCAGGGGCCCCGTACGAGCGCTGACCAAACTGGGCCTGATACGAGTGGGGCTGCTGCTGCTCCGGATACGGCGCGTGGCCATGAAGCTCGGCCCGAAGGCCAGCAAGCTGGTTTCGCAGCGAGTCGTAAGACGACAGGTCGGCTCGACGATCCACACGGCCATGGAGACTGCGAGTTTCTTGATAGAGCGAGGCAACATCCTCACGGAGCCGCTCCACGGCACCAGGCTGACCAGCACGAGCGGCAGCCTCGCCACCAAAGCCGACGCCAAGCGCGATCTCGAGGACGTACACACGGTCCCGGAGAAGACGAATCTCCTCTTGCTGCAGGGCCACCACCTGACTCGGGGCCCCAGCATACGGCTGCGTCGCCTCAGGCTCGTAGCCATGGCCGTGCGAGGCCACCGCCGACCCTCCTTGATCGTAATGGGCAGATCCACCACCACGTGGAACGAGTCGTCCGGGAGCGGCGGCTCCATGGCAAGCGCCAGCTGCTCGTGAAGTGGAGGGGTTACCCTGAGTCGGATAACTCGTGGGAGCCCGTTGAGCAGCTGCCCGAAGGCTGTTGCGATTTGGGACGAGAAGCAGCGGCAGCTTCGTAAGTAGTCCTTGGCTTCTTGGCCGGTACCCGGGGCACGGTAGCAGACGTAGTCGCACCACGCCCACGCTCTTCACGAGCTTTGGCTCTCGCCTCTTGCTTCAGCTCGTCCATTTTCGAGTGGAGCTTGCGCTTGCTCACGAGTTGAGCGAACTCGATGCGGAGCTCGCGCACGTCCAGGATTGCGGACAGAGTGCGATCATCACGGAGTTCTTTGAACTCTTGGTCGGAATACCCTTTGCGCTGGACGTAGCGCCAGAAGAGGTCTTCCACCACGCACCAGGTCATGTTGTCATTCGGCTTGACCCAGTGGAAACCCCACACAGGATGGAGTCCACCCTTGTTCTCCGGCTTCTTGCGAAGCGTGGTGAACTCCTTCAGTGTGAGCTTGTGTGGTGCTAGTAGCACACACCGGGCGACTTCAACGTCGCCAAGAAAGAGTGGCTCTTTCTCAACAAGAGCACGCTCATAGGAACCCCTCGAGGTGTACCCGCCGATAAGGCCACGAGGAGCCGAGAGCTTCTCCAACAGCGCTGGCGCACCAGTGCCAGGCTCGAGCAGGAAGTAGCCCTGCGGGTACGTGGCATCCCCGCCTGAAGAAGACTCGATGGCAGTCGTGGCAGTCGGCTGCCTGGCATACGCACCCGAGCTAGCAGCGTGGTATTGCTGCTGCTGCTCGTCGAGGTTGTTGGAGAGCTCCTTGGGCTCGTGGACGGCACCCTCCTCGTCCTCAGACTCCGAGTCGATGAACAGCTTGGAGCTGGAGCCGCGAGGCGACCTGGAAGCTGAACGCTTCTTCGCCTTGTCCTCGGCGGCGTTCGCAGCGGCAGCCGCTTTCGACGCTTGGGCACGCTCACGACCTTGTCTCAGCGTCAGATGCTTGGATGCCAGCACCTCCTTGGGCTTGGAGCCCGCGTAGCTCGGCGACTTCTCGGCCACGACCCCAGCGTCGGCCATGGCGACTTCGTCGTGCGACTGCTTGCTCTCGCCTGAGCCGGACTCGGCGTCCTCCGCCTCCTTCTCTGACAAGGCCTTTGCGTCGGCCGAGGCGTTGGTCATGTCGCCTGCCGCCAGCTCCGTGCCTTCGGCAGCGTGCGTGCTGCCCTCCGAGACGTTCTCGTCGTCGGGTGAACTCTCACCGGAGTACTGGACCATCGTGCAGTCAAAGACGGCGGCTTCCCAGTCGCGAGCCGGGCTTTTATGGTCCCGAGGACTCTCCTCCTTGCCTTGCGCGGCGTCAGGAGACTTTCTCCGAGCCCCGGCCTGACGGCCACTCTTCGGCGTGCTGCTACGAGAGCTCACCACCTCCTTGGCCGCCTTCGTGGCCTCCATCAGCACGGACGACTCGTCCTTGGCCTTGGCCGCCCTGGTCTTCGGCCCTACGGCCCGCGGTTTCGGAGGTGCTTTCGCACTGCGCGCACTGCGCTTTGGAGGCATGCTTCCGGTCGACGTGGAGACCCTGCGGCTTGCTCGGCGATGCGCCAGTTGCTCTGTGAGGCCCGGGAGCCGAGGCGCCAGAGCTCGCGCCGTTGTCGATGGATTTCGACTTTGCGAGTGAAATGTGAGTCGCCGGCGTAACCTCGCTCTGATTGGTCGATAAGATCGAATCTAAGTGGGGGAGGATGTAACGGGGTTACATGGAATAGTGATCCTGTCACTATTCCGGGATGGCTACATCGGTCACTCCCCTGGATAGTGACCCAAGTGGCCTCAGAGCCAACAGATACATTTTGTATGACACAAACTATAGGGAACTTAGGATTTGTATGCAGGCCAAATCTGTACCAACCTATAACTGCATTCAGTCTTAGATCGCCCGCTTTTCAAGTCAAGTCGTCCCCTTCAGACCAGGGACACGTGAGCGGCTGTTCACTTGGAGTTTGTATACTCCTGCTTCCTCTGTTAAGAAGTGCTGTGTGCCCCGTCACAATACCTGTCTAACTCCTCCAATGTGTAAGCTATATAAATTATACAGCAACAAACTGTTTGTGAGCACTAGCGTTTGCTTAAGTTCGTGCTCCACTCTGCCCCACTCTAAGAAAGTAATTGTCACGACTCCACCAAAAAGTTGCGCAACTTTCTCAGTGATGATGTGGATCATGCTGCGTTCATCAAACACAACACCTAGTGTCCTCGCCTAGAGGAGCCCCCATTATGTTTAAACATAGTAAAGTTAAGATAGTCGCTATGGTCTCAGTTCCTAGCTTGCTTCCCAGCCACATCGTCAGTGATGGTCCCGCTGGAAGTAGCGCGTACCACACGAAAAAGGCAGTGCGAATCATTTGTTTATCTGTGTAGCTTTATGATTGTGACAGAACACGAGTAACTTTACAGTGTGAATACCATCGATGCAAAGCCTTACCTCTGACTTGGCATTCAAGTCAGCAATAAGAGGTCGACCTTCGCTTGAAAGGGTTACCTGGGCTGAACTGAGCTGTGTTGGCTCAGGTCGAAGTAAAAGATGTTCACTCCGCCCCTATATAATTTAGTGTCCTTTATTCAACAGCTTGCCTAGCAGTATAGGCAGCGTGAACGCACTCTGCTGAATGGTGCATGTAGTTGCTGTTGAAGTTGCAGAGCCTACTCGCTAGTGCAAAAATTCAGTATTGCAAATGTTCGGGTTTCGTCGAAGTTGCCCAAAGGTGCTGAAGGTGCTTGAAGTTGCACGAAGTTGCTCAAACGAAGGTGCTCAAAGGTGCGCAAAGGTGCACGAAGTTGCGCACCTTTGGGCAACTTTTTCGACCAAGGTGCCCGAAGTTGCACGAAGTTGCTGAAGGTGCCCAAACCCAAGTTGCTTTAACGAGAGCCGCAGTAGCAATGGGATATCATGGGCCTTTTCCGCTTGACGCGCACGCCACGCTGTGTCACAGCGCGCCGACATTGCGCGGCGCGCGGCTTGCACGGCCAGCCTTGGGCCCAGGCATGCAGCCAGCCGCTATTGCTACCAGGACCGCCAAGCGCGCGGCGCGCTCGAGGGTATCGTACCCACTATCCTTCGGGCCATGATAGGCCTACTGACTTGGGTGCAGGATTGGCCGTTACGACGGAGCCTTGAAGTTCCCCGATTCGCGGCCTGCGATTGGCCAGTCCACTTCAACGTCGCCAAGGCCGTTACAGGCGTGCTTTGGTGTTCCGAGACGCCTTGGTTGGTGGCCAGCGGCGGAGATGACCAACGGAGATGACAACGGGGCCGGCTGCTGGGCAGCCACGAGTGAGCCGAGCTGAGCGCCGCTCGTGGGCGTTGGGCTCCTGCCCGTTGCCGATGACTAGCGCTGCTGAGTTTGTCACCTACAGCGTCCACGACATGACTGATACTGGTGCTCCTCTGCACATTTGTCCGATCATTACTTTAGCAGGCCTTGAGGCACAGGTAGCCGAGTGCATTTCCAGAGGGAATGATGTCTACAATGCAAGCAAAACGCGCAGGCCTGGGAGCTTATCATCTTACTTCTAAGCTTTATCGCTTCCGCATCGAGTCCGAGATGCTCGGGTTGAATGTAAAGTCGGCGAACGTGGAGCTCAGCACCATGGACTGGTGCGTGCACACGCTGTCCACCACGGGCTCGGACGTAAACTCGGCGTCGAAGTTGCCCACGTCGAGCTCGTCCTGCACCACCGGGTGCCACGGCGGCGTCACCTCACGCCGCATCAGCGCGTCCCAGGAGACACCGGCAAAGAACGGGTGGTCACGCAGCTCTTGCGCGCCGCGCGAGCCGAGGCGCTCCGTCGGGTTGAACGTGAGCAGCCCGCAGATCAGCGACGCGGCCTCGGGGGGCATCTCAGCAGGCATCATCGTGCCCACGGAGCCAGGAGTCATGATCTTCTTCACCATAATTTCGCGGTTGTCGTCGAAGAATGGATGCGTGCCGGTGAGCATCTCGTAGAGGAACACGCCGAGCGACCACCAGTCGACCGCGTATCCGTATTTCTGCATATTGTACACCTCGGGGGCCAGATACTCGGGGCTACCCACAAGCGTCTGCGCGCCCTTGTCCGAAACCACGTTGAGCTTCGACAGTCCAAAATCTGTAATGCGCAGGTGGCCAGAGGCTTCGACTAGAATGTTTTCCGGCTTGAGATCGCGATACGCCACCTTCAGCCGGTGAAGATGCTCCAGTCCCAGCACCAATTCAGCCGCGTAGAACCGAGATAAATCGTACGAGAAGCCATCATCCGACATGTGGTGGAAGAGTTCTCCGCCAGAGCAATAGTCAGTCACGAGATAAAGCTTGTCCTTAGTCTGGAACGAGTAGCGCAACCGCGCGATGAAAGGGTGGTCAATCTCTTCGAGAATGAGCCGCTCCGTCTTGATGTGCTCTTCCAATCCGTGACGAACCACGTTCTTCTTGCGAAGCACCTTCATAGCGTACACAACATGCGTGTCCTTCTTGCGGACGAGGAAAACCTTCCCGATGGACCCCTTGCCGATCACCTTAATCAAGTCAAAGTCACTTACAGAAACGCCGTGAGAGTGGTGGCTGGAGTTGCTGCTGCGACTGCTAGCAATCGACGCGCGCATTGCTGAAGAAGAACTCGCGTCGGTGTCCAATGACGATCGGCGAGCAGTTTTCCTGTGGTGCGGAGACTCACTCGCGTTCGCACCCATCGCCGTACTGAGTCGGCGACTCTGTTTTCGAGGCTTCAACGAGTCCAGACGATGGCGGATGACGTTTCCGAGCCACGATCGAGTCTTGGCTTCTGACTCCGTAATAAACTGCGCCGCACCGCAGCCACGATCACGCGCAGCGACGAAGTACGTGAACGTCGTCTCCAGCGAGAGGCTGATAGTGCGCGCCTTGTTGCTACTGTTACGCTTTGAGAGCGCCGATGCAGAAGCTGGGGGCATCTTACCATCCCCTGATGCTGTAAGGTCTCCAACAGATAAACAACTGCACGAAAGTTTTTCCTCTTCGGCCGGGATATGTCCACCCGCCGAGATCTGAGCGTCGCCCTTGAAGTTGATCGCGCGCTGCTTCAAGAACTGAGCCACAGTAGGAGACGTGGTTGACGGGTCCAAGCGGTACGCGCCCTCGGCAAACACAAGCGCATTCACGCGCTTGACAACTTGTTCCTCGCGCTTCTGGATGAGCGTCAGCACCGACTTGGCACCGAAGGAGTACGCCAAAAAGTACACGTTGCGAGCCTGTGCGCGAGAGATAATGTTATCCCACACATACAACATGTGCTCGTCCGGGGACGAGTTGCCGCGGATGGGGAATGTGTCGTTCCCGATGGTCACATTGTTGGTCGATGGATTCAGCACGGCCACGGCAAAGTTGGTTGCAGTAGCGCGACGCATCACCGGCAGCATCGAACCGAGCTCCAGCCCTTCCTGAATCAGCAGATCTCGACTCCAAATACCAGGCTGCGCTCCGCGACCGCCGTTCACGACCACCAGCAAGTTGGCGTTGCTGCGCCAGTCCGATGTCAGGAATATACTGGAGCGAGCATCCTTCGGCTCGTCCGGTCGCAGATCCAGCGGGACGCGCGCCTGCTTGAACGCCAACTCGGCCAGCATCTCCATCTGGATGTGGAAGATGGCGGCCTTCACGATATCGTCCAGCTCGCCCGCGCGCCGCTCGTCGCTCATGAGCTCGTAGACGGCCTGGTTCGTGCGGCAGTGACGCAGCGTGCCCGCGTCGTCGAAGTAGTAGTCCAGCTCCTCCAGCGACTCGAGCTGGTCTGTGAGCGCGATGCTGCCTCGGGCGAGTGCGTCGGCGTCGCTGGGCCCCGTGACGCTGCTGGCGCTGCTGTCACCGAACTTTTGCCTCTGCAGCCGCACGGCGTCGTCCGCGTTCATGCACAGGATGTACTGCTTGCTGTCCTCGCAGCTGGCCGGGTCCGAGACCTGCTCCAGCGTGGCCGCGTGCAGCACGACGCAGCCCTCCAGCAGCCCCGGCGGGCGCTGCTCCACCTCCATGTCGTCGTCATTGCAGCTCTGTAGATCGCAGCCACAAGTAAGCAAGCAGATTATGTTAGCTTCACCTGCAGACAATAGCCGGATCTCTAGATCATTGGGCGGTTGGCTAATGGCTGCAATCTAGAGGAGAGCTAGCTATACATGCACCGACCATGAGGAACTCGTTGACGACCGAGAGCCACGAGTCCGTGGGCAGCACGAACGCCATGACGGCCGCGCCCACCTCCACGCGCGACCCACGCACACCCGCCAGCTGCACGAACACGCGTCTGCTGTCCGCCATCGCCGCCTCTCGCTCGTCCGCTCGCGCTCTGCGGTGCCGCCCCTTGCTGCTTTGGACTGCGGCGTTCTTTTGCGGGCCGACGACCGGCGCGCAAGATCGTACCCATCCCCATTTTCAGCCAATGTCAAAGCGTAGCGCTTCCTATTGGGTGAAAAGATGATACCATTGTGTGCACCACACCACGCAGTTGAACACGTCACATGGGACAACCCTAATAGAGCAGCGTAAAGCTCACCCCAATGGCTCCGATGCTGCGCCCTCGCTTGGCGTCCGCCGCAGCGCGCGCCGCCTCGCGCGTGCTCACGCGCACTGCGCCTTCGGCTCCATGGGCTGCAGCCTCCTTCGCGGACCAGGCACTGGGCCCCGTGGCGGGCGAGCCGCAGCGCCGCGTCCAGTACGACTCGCACATGCCCACGACGCCGCTGCAGAAGATCGTGCTGTCCGTCACGTCGGCGCTCACCGTGTTCGCGAACCCGGACCGTGGCGACATGCTGGCCGCGCTGGGAGAGGTCACGGGCCGTGATGCGCTGCGCCGCATCCACGCGCGCATGTGCGCCGACCCCATGGGCGCGCGCATCTTGGCCGAGAAGCCCGTGATCCGCAACGACAAGATCGACATGGAGTACCTGCGCGCGCTGCCCGCCGACTCGTTCGGCCGCCACTACGCCACGTTCATGGATTCGCACGGCTTCGACGCGGACGGCCGCTCGCTCGTGCGCTTCGTGGACGACCCGGAGCTGGCCTACGTCATGCAGCGCCACCGCGAGTCGCACGACTTCTGGCACACGCTATTCGACGTGCCCCCGACGGTGCTGGGCGAGATCGCGCTCAAGTACGTCGAGATGGCGCACTCTCAGCTGCCCGTTAGCGCGCTCAGCGCCTTTGTGGGGCCGCTGCGGCTCTCGAGCGAGGAGCGTTGTCTGCTCATGAAGGTGTATGTGCCGTGGGCCAGCCGCGCGTCCAAGAAGGCCCATTCACTGCACTGCGTCATGTACGAGGAGGAGTTCGAGACGCCCATTCAGGAGCTGCGTCGACGTCTGAACATCGAAGTCGCCCCTCCGCTCCCAGACTCGTCGGAGCACTACAAGCGCCACAAGGACGATTCGCACTGAGCTCAGTGAGAGAACGACGTAATAATGGTGAGGATATACTTCGAATTAGGTTACTCATCTTCCTCTGCTGCCGTGTTAAGGCTTCCCTACACCGAAAAGGTCGAAGTCGTGATCGTGGTGACTGTCATCGTGGTGTCCCTGCTCGGCTGTAGAGGCTTTCAGTGCCGCCACCAGCGCCTCAGTCTCGTCGTCTTCGGTGGTTTGAGCCTTGATGCCATTTGCACGTCCATTCCAACCTGACGCGGTAGCTGGAGCTGGGTGAGCTTGGGCTTGGGTGTAGTCGATAGCAGGGTGCAGCGTTGGTGGTGGTGCAACAGTGCCAAGAACAGGCTCGCTTACTGGAGTGGCAACAGAGCCAAGCGCGTGTGACTGATCCGGCGTGACGTTCACGGAAGCTGTAGTTGTGGTGGCTGGCGTCGCCGGCGATGGGGCAGTGATATCCGAGCGAGTGTCAACCGATAGGCTTGGCTGATGATCTGACGACAACGATACATGACCAATGGTTCCGTCTCCTCGAGGTGCTGGCATCGGCCCGGGGGTGTTCGGCGACAGGAACGGGTTGTGTGCCACTTCGCACTGGAAATCGTACGAGTAGTTCGTGTCCATGATCGGCTGTGTCGGTGGCTTCTTCTTCGTCGCAGCCGCATCCAGAGAGCTCAAGTTTTTGGAAACTGCCTGGGCTGACGACGGTGGCAACGGGAACAGTTCCTGGTATTCGGCGCTTGACTCGCTGTACGCGCTTCGACCTCCTTCACTTGTCATGCTATTGGCCATGCTCCCAGGAGTATACTGACGTCGCGCCGCGAGTTGAGCGGAGGATTTGAATGCAGCATACTTGGGAATGGAGTCCATCTCCAAACACTCGTACTCGCCCAAGCTCACGGGACTCAGCGGACCCCCCGGAGTGTCTCCATCGGAGAGCGGATAATCTGGAACCACTGTACCTGTCGAAGCTGTACCCCCTGGAGCAGCTTCGGGCAAGCTTTGCACGCTACTGCTGACCGAAGCACCCGCGCTGCTCGCAGCTGTTGCGTACGGATCAACAGGTCGCCGAAACGAAGCCGTGAATGGATTCAGAGCATCGTTGTCGTTGTCGGCGCGAATGGCGCTCTGTGGGTTTGACGTCTGACCAATAGTGCCAGACGACGCCGATCTGCCGAAGTCCTTGTTGCCGAACATCTCGGAGAAGGCCCCAGTGATCTCCGTGCCAAGTGCCGACATCTCCGTGCTGAATTCTGCTGCCGTCGTAGATTGCGCCCGAACAATAGGAGGCCGGCCATCCGTAGTACCAGCGACGCCCTTACCATTCGCGGGCGCGTTCTTCAGGGTGACTGTGGCCGACAAAATCTGCAGGTACGCGTCCAGCTCGTCACTGCAACCTTCAGCGCCAATTTCACCCGTCACGGCATACTCCGTCAGCAGCGTGTTGGCCAGCACCACCAGCTCGCTGATCTGCGCCAGACGCTTCTCCATCTTGCTGTTCCAGTCTCCCATTCCGACCACCCAGCGACCAGCATCCGCCACATACGCGACGCTCGATCTGCATACGCAGCGACACATCACAATACAGCATTAGCATGCGCATAATATAATCCAATGAGTGTTGTAGGCAAACGCACTCAAGCTCGTCGCGGATCTCGTCTCGGTACTCGTAGCACCGCTGGAACAGCAGGTCCGCCGTGTCCATGAGGCCTGCACACACAATACAAAGCTGCACAACGTCAAAACAACAGCCTCAGCTTCCTCGGAAAGGCACGAGTGACGCACACGTTGGTAAGTTCGCTCCCATGCGCTGGAAGAACTTCTCAAAGTAAATCACCTGCCAACAACCCAGGAACATCCGCAGCAACACCTCGCGTTAGAGCGATTTACCCTACAGTAAGGTTCGACAGATACCGCTGCTGGTGCCGCCCCACCTTCTTCATGAAGGTGGCCAGGTGCTCCTCCACGCGCGCGATGGCCGTCATGGACTTGCCGATGCTGGAGATGGACTGGCCCGCGCTGAAGATCGACGTCATGGTGGCTCAGCGGGGCTGTCAAGGGAGGAGGAGACGCGCGTGCGTGCAGGCTGCAGGGCTGGATGGAGGCGGAAGGCGGCGGCCGACGGAGCGTCGAGGGAGACCTCGCTTCCGGATGCTGGCGTTCTTCGAAGCGCAAATATACTGAGTTTTGTATCACATACAAACATCAAGTGTGAGGGTCGGCCAGGCAAATCACAAGGGCAAGTTGAAGTGAAAGCGGCTCGGCTTGAAAAGCGAAGAGTGCAGAGTGCGATGTGGTCTTTGGCCAATGGGTCTATGGCGGTGGTGAAGCTGCTGGCAGTGATCGTACTGTACCAGGCATGCAGTCGTGGCACGCATGGCGCAGAACCTGCCGGGCTACAATAAAGGAGCGAGGAGGCCGCTACACTGCCAAGACGTAGCAGGCCTGCAGTGCTTGCTGCTGCCGGCCTGATCAGCTCTGTGAGCGGCTCGCGAGGACGTCGCATGGCCACGTCGAGCTCCAGCCTATCCGTATGGGTGGGGATGCAGGTGGCAAATTTCACAATAACTGCTGCTGCGCGTACATCAAAAAGTCAAGCAGCATTTGCGACGCTGGAGCTGCAACACCGATATAATATCCGCGCTGTTGGAAACGGATCATTCGCGACGCTCCCCTGCCTCGCAGGCGCCGGCTGATCGTCGCCGGATGGCATTGCTGCTGGGTGGCAAGTGTTTGCATGGAACTGCAGCGAGCGCGCTGGTGTTTGCTCGTCAAGGTAGAGATCAGCGGTCGCCACTGCTGACGGAGACCTGCATCCTGTTGGTACAGAGGAAGGAGCTCAAATGCGCCTCGGTCTTCAACCTGAAGACAGACTCCTCACCTCCAGTGAAGACCGACGGAGTGCATGTAAGCGGACGGTAGGACAACACGGCTTGCTCAATGCAAGGTGTATGTACCTACACGTCTCGCCTGCTCGTAACTGCATCACGCCTGTCACCGCGAATGCATTTCCTTTCCTCTCGGAGCACGAGCTGCAGCTCGTGCAAGGGATCCGAATGCAACGCCCTCCAAGCACGACGAGCTCGTTTCGTTGACGATAGCCGCACTGTCTGGCTGCAGCTCAGTGGGGCCGCAAAGCGGAGATTCTTGCAGCAACGGCCGAGTTGTGCATGACTGCCGCAATATGTACATGTAACGCCTCGCAGCAGCACGACTCGAGCTGGAATGGAAGATACCATGGTACAGTACTTGCAACCGCAAGGCGTTTTTGCAGTGAGGGGCGGAGACCCAACCCGCTGAACATGATGGTCATGCGGCGAGACGGAACGAAAAGCAAGTCTTCCAATCAAGATGGCGGAAAATGTAAGCAAAACGACCAACTGTTCGTTTTGCGGAACTTTGTACTTTACTTTTTTGTCATCTACCGAACGAAGAAGCACGCCCGCGATTCGTAAAGGTGACCAGCTCCGCCTGACCAGCGCCACGTCGACCGCATCTGGCTGACCTCCTTCACTTTACGCTGCAGGTGGCGGCGCTGCCAGCGCCATCCTAAACTTCTCTTGACTTGAATTTGCACTGGTTTAAGGCCAGCAGCGGATCCTCCGATTCTGGTTTGCGCGCTGAGCTGGGCGGGCGGCACCACAAGCGCAGTCAGCCAAGTGGAGCTGGTTTCTGGACGGAGGCCGACCAAAACGCGTGGGCGCGGTGGCGCTGGTGGTAGAAGATCGCAAAAAGTGGCGGCGCCGCTACAGTTGAAGATCGCTACAAGCAAAAATCGATGAAAACCTCGAAGAAGCCGGTTGGTTATCCGGAAAAATGGGCCCGTCGCGAAGAATTATCGCATTTAAACTTGTTATTTTTGCCTCTTCGAGCGGATGCCCGACACGTCGTCGACGATACTGCGGTGGACTCTTGCCACCGGCTGCGATCCGGGAGACCTGCGTGCGTTGCAAGCGGGAGCCAAGGGGGCTTTGCCTGCATTCCCACCTGCGGGGGCTCAACAGTGAGAAAACTCGCGGCATACAAAACCCAAGTGGTCGGCGCCCAGTTCGGTATCCGGAATTCCCGGTCCAGATGACTCAATTGGGTCATAAAACAACCATAATCAACTATTGGTCCCACTGTAGGCAACAGAGAGTCGGAGCTTTCAGCAGTTTCGGTACAGTAATCTGCCCGAGTAAGGAACGCCTGATATATATAAAGACGCAGAATATATCAATTGATGTTAAGCTGAGTATACTTTTCCAATGTACTGATTTAGTTATTTCAAAATGAACTGAAGAGCAGCTTTACCTACGAGTCCGGAATGATTCCAACAGTGGCGTATGGTCGAAGAACTAACCTTTGACCAGGCATCCTCGCACCACAACAGCGCTGTCAAATGGGTGGAGTGGGGGAGGAGGTGGGCTTGTGGGGCGAGGTGCAAAAGCAAAAGTGCGAGTCTACCACTACGGTACATGTAGTTTGAAGTCTAGTAAGATCGCTAAATGCGCGCCATTTTTCAAACGAGGGTGGAGAGCTGATGATTGGCACTGGATTTTTCACCTTAGTAGCTCAGTACCTTGCACATCCCCCTATCGCCACATCGACTGGAAAATAATATTAAATATGTGAGGCTATTAGTTGTACACCCGTTCCTTATTCGGGCAGAATTCTGTATCAATTCCATCAGCCTGCCCCCCTGCTCTTTTACCTTTGCCACCATACTTTGCTTGCGCCGTTGCGGCCACGCCCCGATCGGTTCGGTCTCACTCTGGAATTCGCCCCGGGCAAACGACGACAGCGTTTTTCGTGTGCTAATTTCCCAGCGGGCAGGCGATGGGGGTGCCGACCAGCCACAAGGAGGGCGCATTCTACAGCGCCAATTCCGTTTACAACAACTCGGTGCAGGACGGCGGCATGGACCACGGCCACTCCACCATGACCATGACGTACGGGCCCGACGGCCGCAGCAGCTTCGACAGCTACGAGCCGTCGGCCATGCTGGGCAACAACCGCTTCGTGGCCGGCAACAAGTTCTTCAACTACCAGCAGTTCGGCGCGCTGCGCGAGGGCGGCGGCGTGAGCCTCTTCTCGGCCTCGTACTGCGGCCTGCTGTTCGCCACGGCGCAGAGCAGCCTCATCTACGCCGCGCTGAGGTACTGCATGCGCCCCACGCTCATGCACTCGCTGCTGCTGCAGCGGTCCGAGAGCTCCGTCGTGATCGAGTGTCTGCTGAGCATCCCGACGACGCTCGCCTTCTTCCTGGGGCTGCTCTCCGATGTGGCGCCCATCGGCGGGTACCGCCGCAAGTCCTACATGATCACGGGCACGCTCACGAGCTTCCTCATGTGCATGGGGCTCATGATCCTCTCGGCCACCGTGGACGTCGACCACTCGACCGAGGACCAGCGCAGCGACTACATCGTGTACTACATGGTGCTCATCATGGGCGCCACGTTCGGCACCATGCTCAGCAAGATCGCCACGGACGCGCGCGTCATCGAGCTGTCCCAGCGCGAGCCGCTCACGACGCGCGGCAAGCTGCAGATCAACTACCTGCTCTTCCGGACAGGCATCGAGTGGATCGGGCTCTGGCTCACAGCCCTGCTCATCCGCTTCGACGACGACAAGCGCAACTACGCGCTGCGCGTGGACCCGTTCTGGGCCTACGCCGTGCTAGCGCTGCTGAGCCTCATGCCGGTGCCGTTTGTGCTGCGCAACTGCAACGAGCGCACCGTGGAGCAGTCAGAGGCCGGCTTGATGAACGAGATCGTGGCGGAGGAGGGCAGCGTCGCCATGATCACCGCGGGACCTTCGACTACCAGCGCGCGCATCGGCGCCTTCTTCCGCATGTGCCAGCAGCGCGCCGTGTGGCAGCTCGTGCTCTTCCTGTGTATCCTGCTGGCCACCACCCGCTTCTACATCGGATCGGCCAACGCCGTCTTCGTCAGGCTTGCGGGACTCAACGCCAACACGACACTCTTGACCAACGCACTCAAGTACCTGACCACCTTGGCCTCCATGATGCTGTGGAAGGTCTTCTGGTCCAACTCGTCTTGGCGCCGTTGCGTGTGCCTCGGTATCGCTGTCATGGTCATCCCCGAGACCGTCCGCGCGATCGTCATGCTCTACGTGCCGTCCATGCGTAACCAGGCCTTCTACGACACGATCGGCTGCACCACCGGCTTCACGGACGGTATCATCACTATTTTCTCGCTGATCCCCGCGACCGAGATCGCCGAGAACGGCTCCGAAGGCGCCACGCAGGGCATGCTGCTGTCGTTCCGCAGCACGATCGCCATCGCTATGCGTACCTTCAGCTCCGACTGGATGTCGGACCTGGCCCCCGTGAGCCTCAATGACGGCACCCGCCGCCTTCTGTTGCTGCTCATCATCACGTACATCGTCCACGGCATGGCGTTCTTCTCGGTGCTGTTGCTGCCTCGCCAGAAGCTCGACGCCCAGCAGATGCGCGTCTACGGCGGATACAGCAAGTTCGCCTCCATCGCGATCTGGATTATCTTCGTCGTCTTCTTCGTCTACGCCATGGTCGTGAACCTCAAGGCCATGGCCGACATGGCGAGAGAGTAAGGTATTAGGTAGTAGTAGTTGTAAGTTATTGGTTATGAACATCAGGAGCTAGTGTCGCTTCATGAATGTAATGCAGCGTCGAGGTCTTGTGCTCCAAACCTTTGCTGGTATCTGTGAAACTGGTGATGTGATGTCACCCGTCGGCAGAGGATCACGCGAATGCTGTGTTATCCAACTCTTTTTCATACTCGACCCCTTCGATGTAGGGGTCCTCGTTGATGACGATAATCTCCGTCTGCCTGTAGCCCATGGACGAGTAGAACGCTCGCGCCTTGTCCATTACGGCGCCGGTGCCCAGCCAGATCTTCTTGTAGCCGTGCTTCACCGCCCAATCCTCAAGCTCTGCGATCAACAAACGACCAACGCCGTGACGCCGATAGCTCCCCTTCACAGACATGCGGCGCAACTCGCCCACGTTGTCGCCCTTGGCCTCAAGAGCAACCATCCCCACGACTTCACTCGGATCCGATCGAGGTGTAGCCACCCAAAAGTTGCCCCCAGGCGCGACGTAAGTCGCTTCGATGCTACTCAAATCGCCTGTCGCCACTGCCTCAGTCATATGCTGCTCCAGTACGTCGACGCTCATGTTGTGTGCGGGATAATGCAGCATGCCCTCTCTGAAGAGCGTCACGACCTGCTTCAAGTCCTCTGCTTGATACTGGCGTATCACGATGTCTCCATTACCCGTCACCTCCCCAAGAAGCTTCTCAAACGTGTAGATATGGAAATCTTCGCTGACCTCGGCGACCGCGGTCTGTTCGTACCCCACGGACGGGTAGAAGGCTCGAGCCTTGTCCATTACTCCAACCGTTGTCAACCAGACCTTCCGGAGTCCGCTCTCCCGAGCCCATTGCTCGAGCGCAGCGATGAGCTTCTGTCCGACACCGAGACGCCGGTGCGTGCCTTTCACTGACAATCGGCGTAGCTCTCCTTCCTTGTTGTCCTTGAGCTCAAGGCCAACCATGCCCACCACTTCATTAGGCGCCGTCTTGGGCGTTGCGACCCAGAAGTTGCCACCAGGAGCGATGTACGTGCCCTCGATATCGGCCAGGTCGCTGCTCAAACTCTCTTGGAGATACGCCTCCGTTTACTCGGGCATCGCTTGGAAAGCCGCGTACGAGTGCATCCCGGCCTGGAACACTTCCAGCACTTGGGGCAGGTCTTCAGCTCGGAATGGACGCACAACAACGTCGTCGGAGATGCCAATGGCAGATACCATATCGGGAAAGTCGAGTGCGTGGAAGAGAACGGATTCTAAAGTGGCGGACAGGAAGACGACGATCATCGATCCCATAAGTTAGGTACACGTACCAAACTCCACCAGCACAAGGCACAATGCTTTCGTAATCCTGCACATGTTTCAGTCAGACGAAGTGTCCGATATAACAAGACCGTGTTCAACTAACCGTCATTCCTCCGATAGACGCTCGCAATTGCCGTAATACACAGATGAGGAGAACTTTTGGCGTAAGATGCACTGCTCAGAGTCTATTCATTTATCGGTACTGGGGTGTTGCTACAGTTCAACGCGATGAGGGCCTCACAAAGCCGCGTTCTTGTCAACTGCGGGAGCCAACACCTTCTCGATCCTCACCACCTCGTACGGAGGGTCAACGCTCATGAAGTACTGGTCGGTCTCGACGTTGCCCTTGGAGTCGTAGAAGTTCCGCGCCTTGTCCATCACAGCGCCAGTGGTGAGCCAGATCTTCTGGAGCTGGTGCTCCACTGCCCACTGCTCCAGCACCGAGATCAGCAGGTGGCCATGCCGTAGCATCGGTGCGTACTCTTCACCGACATGCGACGCAGCTCAGCCTCGAGGTTGGGCTTCAGCTCGAGCCCCACCATGCCGACCACGAGCGATGGCTCGTCGCGAGGCGTGGCGATCCAGAAGTTGCCACCTGGGGTGACGTACGTGCCCGCGATGTCGCTTAGGTCCGTCTTGAGACTTTCGTCGATAAACTGGTGCAGGCGGCCGTTGTTCCGCTGGCCAGGATAGTAGAGCATGCCCTCTTTGAAGAGCTGAATCACTTGGTCCAGATCTTCGTTGTGGAACTGACGAAGGACGATTTTAGTCGAGTCACGAGCTGGTGCTGCGGTCGGGGGAGACGCGGCGGTGGAGTAGGCGGTCGGAGCCATGCTTCAATTTCAAGCAGCGAGCCTTGCGCAGTCGGAAGGTAAAATCGAAATGACGCTGTTGAATGGACTTCATGCCGCCGGTGTAGCAGCAGCACAGATGGCTTCGCTAGGTATTTGTCGGGCTGGTGCTGCACTGTAGCGTTTGGCAAAGCACTCCGAAGCCGCTGCATCAAACGCTTCAATGAGATGAGGATTGGATGACTGTGATTAGATGAGGTACTACTTAGTAATCACAAGATGAGACTGTAAAGCCCAATGATTAGATTAGGCCAACCAAATCGCCGCCGGTTGGTTATCCTCCGGACGATGTTATTCTGGCCCAGAATGGACAAATTTTCTTGGAAACTGAATTATTTAATGAAGGTCAAAGACCTGCTATTAGTGTTGGTTTATCTGTAAGTCGTGTTGGTTCTTCTGCTCAAATTAAAGCAATGAAACAAATTGCTGGTACTATGAAATTAGAATTAGCTCAATTTAGAGAAGTACAAGCTTTTGCTCAATTTGGTTCAGATTTAGATGAACAAAAAGATGATTTAGAAAAGTTAACAGCTTATGAATGTGGATTTAATCCTTATGATGATGCTAGAAAAAGTTTTGATGTAAAATTTTATCTAGTAGCTATTCTTTTTATTATTTGTGATTTAGAAGCTGTTTTTGTTTTTCCTTGGGTTTTAACTTTAAGTTCAAATTTTTCATGGGGATTGAACGGATTTGTTAAATTTAATTTAAGATTTACACCATCTATCGAGGCCAAGGTCTTGATCAAAACGCTGCTCTTGACGCAGCCGTCACTGGATATGAGGTAGATTTCCAATTCAGCACCGACAAGTCTCAAGGAAGGTAAGCCCTAATATATTAATGTACTTCTGCTGCAGTAGGCTATAGCTCCATGCACGATAACACCGACTCACGCGAAGCTCGCGGGTCCCAATTTTGATGACCTCGAAGGGCGGCTCCTCCCGAACGATGATGACTTCGGTCTCCGTGTAGCCCGTGGACGTGTAGAAGGCCCTCGCCTTATCCATGACGCCGCCCGTCGTAAGCCAGATTCTGCCGAGTTGGTGCTCTGCCGCCCACTGTTCCAGCGTCGAGATGAGCAGACGACCGATGCCGTAGCGTCGGTGAGAGCTCTTGACCGACATGCGGCGTAGCTCCCCTTCCGCGTTGGGCTTCCGTTCCAGACCCACCATGCCCACCACGAGCGATGGTTCGTCGCGAGGCGTGGCGACCCAGAAGTTGCCGCCGGGCGTGATGTACGTGCCCGCGATGTCGCTCAGGTCCGTCTTGAGGCTGTTGTCGATGTACTCGTGGAGGCGCGGGTCTTGCTGGCTCTTGGGGTAGTTGAGCATGCCGTCCTTGAAGAGCTGGATCACTTGCGGCAGGTCATCGCTGCTGAACGGCGGACGACGATTTTGCCGAGTCGAGGGCTGGCGTTGGCGCTGGCGGTGATGCCAATGTGACGGAGGCCGTCGGGGCCATGGCGTTCTGTGGCCTGCGCAGGCGATCGTCAAATGAAGAGTGACTGGGGGAAAGCGGGAACGTGCATTTATGTTTCTAGCCGAGCGCCGTACGCGGCGGTGAATTTTTTGTTAGTTGGCGCTTCGCTCGCAATGCTCGCTGCGCTATTGGAGCAGACTGCCTATGCTTCGCTACGGCAGTGGCGGACCCGTTCCGCTCGCCTCGTCGGCTCGCTGCACTACTCTCAATGTTAGATTAGTACTACAGAGGCCGGGGCGGGTCCTGCGGCCCCGCAATATCGTATGAGGGGGTCGCCTTCGCTGCGCTTGGCAGCTAATCGGAATTAGTAGGAATCGTACTTAGTGAATAAGCGTGACGATTTACGGACAGCGCGTCTTTCTGATTGATTCTTAGGAAAAGCGACCGTGCTGGTGCTGTAGCTTGCGGCCAATGGTTGCTGCACATCCTCTGGCCGCCCCGTGTCCTTGCAACACCGGGACCGCCGAGGATCTCGGCGGCTGACTGAGCTCACAGCTGCTTGGCCAGCTCGAAGACTTCCACACGCGGCTCGAGCGACACGACCATCGTGCCGACGTCCTGGTAGCCGATGGCCCGGTAGAAGGCGCGTGCGTCGTCCTTGGGGCCGCCGTTCCTGAGGATGACCTTGGTGAAGCCGTTGGTCCTGGCCCAGCCCTCCAGCTCCGCCACGAGGCGGCGGCCGAGACCGTGGCGCCTGAAGGCGCTCGAGACGGCCATGCGTCGCAGTTCTCCCACACCATCACCCTGGGCCTCCAGCCCCACGATGCCCACGACCTTCTCTCCGCCGTCGGCTCCCGTCGCCGTTACGACCCAAAAGTTGCCGCCGGGGGTGATGTACGTGCTCGGGATGCGGGCCAGGTCGCCGTCGAGACTCTCCCGGATGAACTCCTTCCAGTGGTCCTGCACGTGCGCCGGGAAGCTGTCCCGGTAGAACTCGCAGCCGTCCACGAAGACGGCGTTCACACCTTCCTGGTCCTGCGGCGCATACTGGCGGATGCAGAGCTTGGGCTGCTCCTTGGGCTGCTCGACGGACGCCATGTCAGTGTCAGTTGCTTGATGGGCTGACGTCAAAAGTGCTGCTCAATTTAGAAGCATGATTACTTAACTTAAGAATTTGAAACACAAAGCGTTCTAAATTAAGGATCGGGCGAAGTGCGCTTCCTCGTGCGTCATGCCCGGCGTGAAGATGGTCGTGTGCGTGAGCGTGCAGCCCTGCGACTTGTAGAACTCCACGGCGTTGGTCATTGCCAGGCCCGTCGACAGCTCCACGCGCTTGAAGCCGCGAGCTCTGGCCCAGTCTTGCAGGTGCTGCAGCAGTCTCCGCCCTAGTTCCATGCGGCGGAATCCGTCCTTGACGGACATGCGGCGCAGCTCGCCCACGTCGTCGCTGTGGCGCTGCAGCCCCACCATCCCGACGACATCTTCCTCTCCGCCCTCGGTGCGCGCAACCGCCACCCAGAACCGCCCGCCATTGGCAAAGTAAACCCCCTCGATGTCGGCCAGGTCGCTCTCCACGGACGCCTGCCGGACCCGCGCCCACAGCGTCTTGCTGGCCTCGTCCTCGCCCTCGTAAGAGTAGGAGATCATCCCGTCGAGGTATATTTGCACCACCGCGTCGTGGTCGGCCGCGCAGTAAGGACGGATAGCTACATCAGCCACAGACTGCGAGACGGACGCCATGTTATTGTTTCGGGGATATGAATGATTTGATACCGAGTGAGACCATGGGAGGCGGTATCGATTCTTGTGACGAGAGCCGCAAATGCAGTCATGGTTTGACTCCGTCTTCGCTTTCAGAATCAGGATCGCATCGGGCTGTAACCTTGGGAAGGGGGGGGGTCTGACCTCGACAACTTCAACGTCATCCCTGTATCAATCGGAGCTATTCATGGAGCTACCCGCTAGCTTTAGCGCTCCGTCTTCCTCCGAGGCACAGCAAATTTTAGATTGTTAGCACTCACTTCCAATTCCTCTACGGATATGCTTGCCCCTCAGAGATAAGACATCGAGGCAGATGGCGGTTCCCTTCGTCAAGATATGCTCGCCGGCGTCATTTCCATCTAGTTGAAGACGCAGGAAGCCCCCCGGGAGCAGCAGCAGCGGATCATGGTGACAAGTGTCACGGGGCCGTCGTCCACACTGGTATCGGAGCTCAGGATGCTGCAGACGAGCAACGGTGGCAGCACCATGCCTATCGCAAGGGTCATCCAGTCAGCTAAGCCGACCCGACGAGCTCACCCTCAGTCCGTTCACCACGTGCGGCAAATGGCAAAGCTTTCGACGGCCGCCAAGTCCGGCGAACTCTCGCCGTCTACGAGTCAGACTGCACTAACGATGAGCACGCGCCCCGGATCACTAGCGGCTGTCAACGTATTGACACCCCCAAGTGTGCGGCCTCATACGGCAGGCGCCTTCAAGGCCCGAAAGGTGGAGCCCACGCGCTTCCGCTACTTCTGTACGTACTACCGGATCAAAGCAAACACCTTAAGACGCAAGTGTGACCGCTAATTCGTTGCTGCGTGCAGATGACCGAGGAGATCTCCCTGTGCGCGTGAACTTCGCCGGAGCTGTACGGAAGCTGCAGTGGCAGGTCGATCTGTCGCTCTTGGATTTCGCGCACTACCTGCCAGTGTTCATGGAAGGACTGCGCGAGCTGGAGGAGCCGTATCACTTCTTGGCGCTTAACGGTACTCTGGACATGCTGGAGAAGGGCGGGAGTCGAGTGCTGCCGTGCCTACCGCAGTTGATTCCGCCCATCAAGGCGAACCTTATGACACGCAACCAAACCGTGCTGTGTCTGCAGATGAAGGTGTTGCAGCGACTCGTGCTCTGCTGTCCGTACACGGGCGAGGCGCTTGTGCCGTACTATCGGCAGTTGCTGTCGATCTTCAACATCTTCATCACCAAGCGAGTAAACTGCGGCGACTCCATCGACTACGGTCAGCGACGGCAGGAGAACGTGGGCGACCTCATCCTCGAAACGCTCAACATCCTCGAGAAGCACGGAGGCCCCGATGCCTTCGTCAACATGAAGTACATGATCCCAACCTACGAGAGCTGCATGACGGGGCGGAGATAGATAAGACCACGCTTCAGTCTTGGAGTCAGGTGATCGCGCTTTACCCTCGTCAGTTTAAAGCTTGTACAGTACTTTATTTTTGAGGACCAGAACAACGCAACATACTTAGACTTCGGGTGCCCATCCATCCAGTCTCCTTTACGCTTGGGCTCGCTGAGTCGCTGAGTCGAGTCGGCCATTGTACACATCACTTCAGACTTGGACAACTCGCACTCCTTTCTCCCGAGGCTATGAAGTCAAGGCCAGCTCTGACGGTGGTGGCGTCTGACCGCGAGCTTGACTGCAAGCACCGAGGCGACGATGACGACGACAAGTTCGAAGTCTCGTGCGATATTGGAGAGACGACGCTACACAAGGCCGGCCTTCGGATCAACAGCTCGGGCGTCACGTTCGCGGAAGACAAGCCCGGCCACAAACACGACGAAGACGAGGTCGGTGAGTGCGTGGTGATCTCTCACTCGACGCGAAAGCTCGTGGCGCTGGACCAACTGGAGACGTGCAGCATGATCGGGAGGGGCAGCTCCGGGCAAGTTTTCAAGGCGCGACACTGTGACACGAGTGCGTTGTATGCAGTCAAAGTGGTGACCAACGTGTTCGACAAGCCCAGGCGCGACCAGCTTCTCACCGAGATCCGCACGCTCTACGGCATCGAGAGTGAGCACCTTGTGGGGTTCTACGGCGCATACTTCCAGGACCACGCGTTGAGCATCGTGCTCGAGTTCTGCGCCTTGGGGTCTCTGGACCAACTCCTCGCAAAACTGCCTAAGCACGCTGACGTCGTACCAGAACGCGTCGTTGCCGCCATCGCAATGCAGGTGCTCACGGGACTCGCGCACCTCAAGCGAGTGCGCCACGTCCACCGCGACATCAAGCCGCAGAACATTCTCGTCCAGCAGGATGGGTCGGTCAAGCTGACGGATTTCGGACTCGCCCGCGAGCTGTGTTCCTCGACCAGCATGGCTCAGACCTTCGTGGGTACCTTCAAGTACATGGCCCCCGAGCGCGTGCAAAATGAGCCTTACGAGTGAGTTGTCGAGGGGTATTGTTTTGTTTGGCGCTGATCACTGTGTGAGCTCACAATTGCTGCGTTGGTATTGTCAGCTACAAGTCGGACGTCTGGAGCGTCGGCCTTGTACTCATCGAATGCGCGACGCAAACTTTCCCTTACGCAAACGCGCGAAGCTACATCGACGTAGGAAGGAATTCGTGGTCTTGGTATAAGTACCGCCTCATTGGGAGCTTACCTAACTTGGACGAAATGGTTGTGACTGCATTGATAGGTGGTCCAAAGCATCGTCGAAAGCCCGGAGCCTCGCCTTCCTGAAGTGGATGGTAATGGGGAGCCGTTTACTCCCGAGTTCCACGAATTTATTGGCCGGTGTCTGAAGAAGGAGGTGAGATAGTTTTACAACCTTTCCATTGTACCAGCATCAAGTCAATAACTCGAGTCTGCGGTGGCTGTATTCAGCCCTCAGAGCGTGCGTCAGTCGAGGAGCTCCTCGCTTCGCCTTGGCTGCAACTACACAACGCCACATCCACCGAAAGATGCATGCAGCGGTGCGCTACGTGGCTCCAGAAACTCCATCTCGTTACTGAGGACGCATCGGAAGCGAAGGAATCTCACGGGCAGCGTCAGGACGCGAAGGAGCTGAAGGCGAAGCAGCTCGATGAAGACGACGAGATCGAGGAAGATATTGAGGTGCATGAAGATAGCGATTAATTCGCGAGCACGAACGCGTTCGTGGAAGCAGAACCACAGAACCATAATGGCATTTCAAGCTCTTCATTCTTGCCTTATTGAGCTGTTGCAAATTAGTGAGAGAGCAAGTATTCGCGTGCTGAGTCGTGAGCAGCACAAGAGCCATACCGCCTCGAGCCTGCTCTCTGGGGATCACTCGAGTCCAAAAAGAGCCTCTCGCGCAGAGCCACCAATACGCCGACCAAAGTGACAGCACCAATCAGACCGACGACGCCCAGGAAGCGAGTGGCTTGTTGCTCGCCCGCCGTCCAGCTCTTCATGTGGATCGCAGACTCGACGTCAGGCTCCTCGTCCAGCAACATCGTAGCCATTTGCTCGGCGGCAGCAAAATCGTTTGACGCTCTAATGCGCGCCAAGCAATCGGGGAGGTTCTTCAGCATCGTAGAGAAGCGGAGCGTTCCAAGACCCGAAGCTGCGTCCCATCCAGTAGTGGCCATGTGCCCTTTGCTGCAGCACTGCATCCCTCTCGAACCGCACGAGATGTCGCCGTGGGTGATGTCGGCGAACACTTGAGGGCACACATCATACAGCCGATAGAGCAGTGGGTTCAGGAACCCGAGTGGCGGCAGGTTGGGCAGCGCCCGATTGAGCAGCGCGATCATCGAGGCCACCACAGGGGCAGACACAGATGTGCCATCCGTCGCACCCACCGCGCCGTTGACAACCACAGGGAAGGCGTGCCCCACCGCTGCGATATCCGGAAGTGCTCTTCCGGTGTCTCTGAAATATGGTGAGAGCCCAGACGAGTTAGCGAAGTCCATGTAAGGACCCACAGCTTTGCGTTGGTACTCGGGCATGTCGTAGAGGTCGCTAAATCCACCGCCAGATGTGATGAGCGCCCGAGCTTGAGCAGTGGAAGTCACGGCCTCCTTCCACTTCCCGTTGGCCTCTCGAGCAGAGCCCGTGGCGATGGTCGTAGCTCCTACCGCTGTCACGTACGGCGACGACGCTGGGAACATGGCCATAAACTTGGAGCATGTTGGCACGCGACAGAAGCCGTCAGCCAGGTGGCTGCCTCGAACGCCGGCGTCACCTGCAGAGACCAGGATCGAAATGCCACGGAGAGCTGCCTTCATGAGCTCGCGGTTCACCGCTTCGGCGTACGCGACCGGTACGCTGCACTCGTCGTCCGTGTAGCTGATGGACACGACGGCGGGTGGGGGCTGCATCGCGTTCACGTCCTGCATAAAGGTGAAGAACGGCTCCTGGTTGTCTGGAGCGTAGCCTCTTGCCTGGTCTCGGAGCTGCGTGTAACACAGCATCTCGATGGTTGAGGCATCTCCAGTCTCATGCGCCGTCAGACCTGCCGTCACCTGGATATCCAAGGACGCCTCACCAGTGGGGCCTTGAGTCGTGCACGGCCCCGTCGTCGTCGGCATCTTGAAAGTTTGGTGCTGTCCGTCGATCGTGCGCAGGAATTGGTTCAGATCCATCTCGTTGTAGAATTCGTGCAGGAACGTGCCCACCACGAGCTTGTAGCGATCCACCTGGTCCGTCCGCGCGCTCTCTTCAGCCACGCCATAGGTGCTCGAGTTGACTGTGAGCTTCTCCGGAATGTCGTACTGCTCACGGATCACAGCCGGCGTCGCCCCGCTCGTCCCAACGAAGAAGTCGTTCGCGAAGGGTTGCTCCCTGACAGCGAACGGGTCCTTCTCGTCCGTGCCTCCTCCCTGCATGAACTTGGCCTGCATTTCCGTCGGGAAACTCTCGAGTCCGTCCACGTAGGTCACGACCCCCTCCAGCTCCTGAGGGATGCTGTAGCTCTCTTCAGGACGGACCACCGACAGCCCGGAGCGTTGGCGGTGCGTGTAGTGGAACATTTTGGTGCCGAAAAGTCGCTCCGCCGCAGCCACCGCGAGCTCCAGGTGCCACAAATCTTGCACCGCGCCCGCCGGCTCGGCCCGCAGCACTTGGGCGTCCTGCACGACCTGCTGGAAGCTCCGGAGACTGGCGTCCGGCGGCGCGAAGTGCTTCCGGAGCTGCTCCGAGCTGGCCAGGTGCTGTCCGTACAGCGGCGACGCAGGGTCCGTCACGGCCGCCACTAGCTGTCCCAATTGCTCGTCGCTCTTGCGGGGCGTGAGGGCCACGCGCAGAGTTATCAGCAGCTCGGGGGCCGCGCGGGGCCCGCGCTCCCAGCGCGCCCAGTGCGCGTTGTCCACTGTCCGCGCCTCTGCAGAGCAGACCGCGGCAAGTTGGAGCGCAGCCAGCAGCAGCACGCACAGCGGGGACACAAGCAGCAGGATACGGGGCTTCATGGCGACGGAACGGGGACTCAGACCAAGGCGACGCGAGCGAAGGTGGCGCCTTCTCGACCGCAGAGGCTTGCCTTGAAGGGGCTCGGCTTCGGATATGTTGAACTGAGATGGTCGTCAAGTTGCAACGGCAGCCACGCAACTTGCAACGATCTCTGCTGAAAACGAGGACCCATAAGGTCGTAATTTCATCAATATTTGGTCAGTTCTGATAAAAATAGGACCAGTCGCTTCAGGGCCGCTCCTACATGTAACCATGCCATGCCATGCCATGCCACCGAAAATCGGCATGGTTAGGAAAGCAATCCAAGTGCCATCATGCCACCCGATTTTTTCTTATCGTATAGTTTTATAACCATACAAAAATCAACATAAACCTGTCCAAACGATGGCGTGGCCGATAGCTTTTGCTATCCGTGGCACTTTCATTACTTTAAACTCTAACCCTAGCAAATCATTGGCCAATCAGGTGGTCTTATTTCCTGCCATGGCATGGCATGGTTCATTGAGCCTTTTTAAAGCTTATATTCCATAAACATATTTCATTATTAATTTTGTTTTCTGATATTTTCTTTGCATATTCGCAGTTCGAAGAACTGTCGATTGGGAAAGGTTTTTGGATGACATCGAACGACATTCGCGCTACAGTCGTAGCTTCCCCGTAGCGGATGACATCGAACGACATTCAAGCCACATGAAACCTTGGATCTGCAAGAATGCAGCCCGTGCAACCTTGTTCGTCGTAGTAGCATGCATTGTATAGCTAGCTACTGACAACTATATTCTACAACGTTGAGTTCAATGTTGGGCATACGTCCTGATGATGCTGATCGTGAGCCCAACCACAGCTTCCAATAAACTATACGGGCATTATCACAGCACTACGTCGTACTTGTAAAATATTACATATTAAATAAAATGTTCAGAGCACTTAAAATTGTACTTCGAAGTAGTACTTTACTGACCCCATTGGCTTTGATACTATTGACCCGGTCGTATTGTATGACCTCCGCTTTCAGACACACTAGAAGATGATATTGCAAACGTATTCCACATGCATAGTTCTATGAGCCGGTCGACCACGAGACTGAAACCGATTAATTGGTCATGTAAATTTATCCTGGAAGAGGGAATTCCTGCACATTCATTGGAACAAGTCTTTGTGGATTAGGCACGACTTCCACGAATAATATTAAAGTTGTGCGAGCCAAGGTAGCTTGCTTGCTACTGTTTCTATTCTTATTTGCCGAACCCCTTTTAGGCAAAAGCAAAACTATCTTGAGATTGACAGGATACCATGTTGTCACTGAATACGGTGTATCCGTATTTATGATGATTCCTTCTGAAAACGCCTTATACCCCATACACAGCGGCAAGTAGAGCTTTGGCATATGCATGTATCAAGTGAAAACTAATTACACCGATTTATTGCTGCTAGCCGATACGCTGGCAAAAGTTACGACCTCTTAGTCAACTGCGCTTCGTTTAGATCCTCGAGCCGCTTTTGTTTTTTTAAGGCATGTTTTGTTTTTGAATGATTAATTTTTGAATGATTGATCTCGACAAGAGCCCATCGAGTTTGGTTTCATTTTGTAGCATTTTATCGGTCCGAACTACCCCATCAAAAAAAAATCTTTCTTTGAGCTTGCAACAGACGAACCGAAAGCACTTTACCAAGTATGTACTCCCCGACTTGTGAGGTTGAAGCAGATGCAGCGTGCTCAAGCTGTAAAATGTGCGCTATAAATTCGTCGATTTATTGATGCTCGTCACGATGGCAGCTAGTCTGAGCGACATGCATCCACAATAGCGGTCTAGTACAGGTACAAAACTAAAGAAGACTTCCAATATCTACTGCCTACACATCAGCTTACCCGGCAGTTGCTGCGGCTGCGAAGCGGGTGCAGGAGATGCCTGTGAATAGCACAAGGTTTTTGATAATGTTAACGGGAAATTGCGCGCGCGGAGTCTGCTGCTTGTTTTACTTTTAAGTACTTACTTGGCTACGAGATATCCGACGATGTAAGCAAGCGTCGCAATTTTAATTTCTTTTTATCTACAGGTTGATTTGGTTTTATTTTTTGTGTGAATACAGGCTGTCTACTGGGCGAACCTCATCTAAAACTATTTCGGCGTACATTACCCTTCATTAGCTATAATGCTTCATTTAGCTTCGAACTGCGAACCCCCCCCGGGTTCACCACCCGGGTCACCAATTAACAAACGATATGATTTTCGTTGACCTTAAGCCACGCGATTCTCGAAGTAAGTCTAAGAACTACGAAACGCGTGAAGGCGAATATTTAGCAGCTTTGAAGCTCACAAGTAAGTTTGTTATCTTACGATGCGAGGTAGATATTGCGCTGACTGCAACAATGCCTACAACGATCACAGTAGCTGCTTGAAAATTGTTCCTCGCCCCCGTAGTAGTGAACTTTTGTGCGCGTTTTCACGTGGTTATCTGTGTATCGACACTCAAAAATGTACCGTATCCACCACAGAAGTGGACGGTCCACTATTTGAGCCACCTACAGGCTTCCTCGTGCGTTCGCATCGGTCGGAAATGAATGGCTCCCCCTTCATGGGCGACATGTCGGCCTTAGTGACGGAACACCAGCTGCTTCTGCTTCTCCGCTAGTCTGGGGGTCTTGGTTAGCTTTCATCAGGCCTCTAACCCCTTCTCCGAGCAGCAGCCGTGGTCCGGAGCCACGGCAGTTCCGGCCAGTACGCCTGTTGTCTGCGTTCTTCGTATGCTGCTGCGCCTTGCGCCGACCCCCTTGATCTCCTTTCCTTGGCCAAGAGTCTTCCGCGTCGTTCCCCCCTCGAATGCCCGCGCCTCGCCGTCGAGGCGTCTCACGGCGCGATGCCGTAGTCATCAGGCCGCTGGGAGTCGTCGGCTGAGCACTGAGCTCCCTCGGTTTGTCCGCGTCCGTAGCCGAGCTGTGCCCTGCCAGGTTCTCAGCCCGGAGACCATTGGCCTCTACGTCCTTGGCCGCTTAAGAACAGGGGGCGCCCGCGTCTTCTGCTTTAGGGGGTCACCCCAACCCGACCAGGATTCCTCGCCCCGGTGTGATCGAAATGGTCATGGGTTTTGAGACAATTATTTCGACGTATGTATCTTCTCCAATATAGTATTACATTCTTTATTGCAGGCATAATTGGTATAGAGGGCTTCAACTTAGTAATGACCGCCAAAAGATATCAGGTTTACCGGGGATTATTTGACTGTACAGATCCTCCTTAAACTCGTGGCATCCTGCACTTCTGGCCTACGTATCGATTGGGTACAGGTAGTACTGCCACTTCCGACACCAGCTGGTGTGTATTTTTCATGCACACATAAATAGTTAGCAGGTATTACAATAGAGAACTTTAGAGTTCTCTAATGTATGAGCGCACCAGCACCAAGTTGGCGTGGCGACCAACGTCGCCGCTCCGTTCGTTGATCACCGGCTCATCGGTGTGAGCCCCAGCGGCCATAGCACCCCAATAAAATGATAGCGCAAGCGATAAATTAACTATGAGACGAAGTTGTGAGTGAGCTGTTGTGGTTGAGCTCATCCACACTCGCTGAATGCTATCTGCGCTGCAGCACTAGTAGGAAGCTATAGACGCTGGTCTACTATCTACGCCAGCGCTTTCTCACGGCTCCATCTACCAGTTCTTCCTCTGTCGTTTCTACTCCTATGTTCTCACTTCACCCCACTACTTGCCGCTAGGCCGAGGGGCCCACGGGCCGGGCTAACTGCTCCTCTGTCTACTACCTCAAGTCCTTCTGTCCGTTCTTGCGGCGAAGACGATGCCTACCTGCCAGCACCCCCATCCCCCTATACCTCCGCACCCAAGAGACACGTTTCCGCGTCCCTTGAGCTGCACTCAGAATCTTCGTAAGCCTCGCAAGCTTCGCGCGCGACAGCGGTGGCTTGCGGCGGCTTGCGGTTGATTGAGAGCCGCTCAATGCTTGGCGTCGATTTATTGTGAACCCTGCTAAAGATGATATCAAATTGTAAAGGATACTAGATTTGACAGGTGTCGGAAGTGAGAGTACATCCTGTAGTTGGAGTTGGAGTAATAGTGTTAACACAGCGCGTAGAAACCCGAGAACTTGTCACGGAGCTTAGCCTCGTTAGGGTCAGCCAGGATGTTCTCGCCATGGATGACCTGTTGGTCGCACTGCCGTCTCCGGCTAATGCGGCGCTTGCGCGTTCTAGTCCGTGTCGAGTTTGTGGGCGCGCACGAGTGCATGGCGATGCTACTGGCCGTCGGCCGTGGCAGTGCTGCCGTTGCTACGGGTCATAGACAGAGTGATAGGGCCACACCGCATTGCCCGCGGCGACTCTAGCGTCCGTGCCCGTCACCAGCGCTTCCTCCAATCGCCAACTCTCTAAATTTAGACAATCAGCAAGTGACGAGTCATTATTAACCAATGATGCCGTAGTGCAAGCATTTTTATCCAATCAGAAAGTTATCAGCTCGTTTTTTTCTGACCATGCGGCCATTTTTAGGGGGAAATGAGGAGATACATGTACTTCCGCCTCGATTTCTCGTCAACCATCGGCTCAAATGTCGATACCGGAGTACGAGGCGATGCGCAAGACGCCTACCTAGACCGTTGTGTCAGTCTTACATTCTAAATTACTTTTGCGCGTTTCACAGTATGAGCTCAAGCTGCAAAAAGCGTTGACCTTAAGTCGCGTATCGCCTGTTAATACCATAATATTGAATATGCTATGTATTGTGCCAATCACTGCGACTTCCCGCTTGACTTGGCCTCAGTATACTACTCAAACACAAGTGATTTAGCCTATTGATCAATCAGGTGACGGCAAAGTCTAAGAATGTGGCCAATCAGAGCTGCTGATGCTCCTAGTACAGTGCCTTCAGCGTCTTTCCACTTGACTTGGCCTCATAACACTACTTCATTTAAGGTTACTATGACCTCACTTGGCCTTAGTATACTACTTAAACTTTGGTAAATACATTGTTGGTGATTATCTTGAACGTAATTAGTGTCAGAATTAAATTTGCCAACTTCTACCAACCACTGCAGCCGAAACTAACTCGCCTCGATGTCGCCGAACTCTAAACCCCTAAGCAACAAGCTCGTGTGCAGCCTGATGTTCACCAAGAAGTCCAGGAAGAGTTTCTGTGCTTAACCTGTTCGAAGACGTGCAAGAGTGCTCATGGCTACACCAACCTGATCACGCATCTCCGCACCAACCACCCGACCTACCTTGAAGATGTCTTTCAAGCCGCGAAGGACCGCAACGCACTCCGCCTACGTGCTGCCGATGACGAGACGCGTACCATTTTTCGCTGGTCCGAGTGGGTCGTGCTGGAGATTTAAGCCACCGGAACCCGTACGACATGACTGGGGCCGTCTATGGCGTAGGATGCTGGTAGCTATCCGACCCCCGGGGGGGGACCGGGTTCCGTACCCCTCATTACACTATGGGGCTTTTTTATGCACGGGCCACCAGCTCACCCAACTATCCACCACCACATTGGGTGCGGGTTGGCAGAGCGGACCGTCCTATAGTGGGTTACGGCTGCTCGTCCGCTTATGCAAATCTCCGGCTTCAGGTGAACGTCGTGGTTCGTGCTAGACCGTCTGCCTCTGAGTTTCGTCGAGCGCAAGATGACGAGGAAAAACGCTTCGCTGTCCTCGATTAGCCAAAAGACGTTGAAGATGTACTTGGTGCGGGTGTACCAGTCTGCAGAGGCTAGGGTTACTGAGGAGCTTCCGCCGACGTTCGGCATCGTGCTCGATGGCTCCACCTTCAGCGGCCGTCACTACATCGCCATTTTCGCCGTGTTCAACGACCCGGGGATGTGCCATGGAACTGAGGTTAGGGGTGGCACTGACTACTACGACGACACCGACTGCTACACGCGCCGGTTCGTGCTGCTGGCATGTTGTCCGCTAGACGTGGAGGAGGATCTCGGTGCACAGAGCCTGTTTGACCTCATCGCTGACACGCTCACACGCTACAACATGCCTTGGGAGGCGGTCCACTTTATTGTGACCGACAACTGCAACGTCAACCAGTACATTGGGAGTCGTAAAGGTGCGCTTCCAATGGTCGGCTGTGCATCGCACATGTTTAACCTGGCCGTGTCTGACTATCTGCCCGACTACGAGACTCTCCTGGCGAAGATCCATGCGTTGATGAACAAGATGCGCACGATCAAGGGTCGCGCAATTCTTCGCCTTGTAAGGGATCTGTCACCTCTCCTGCGTAACGACACCCGGTGGTCGAGTATCCATGCCATGGTCCAGCGCTATACTAAAATTGAGCCGGCTCTCAATTCTCTGGGCTATGGCACCCTCATCGAGTTTGGCATCCAGCCGCTATTGCTTCACAGGGTGTATCCGAAAAGACACACATGCTTCTAAAGGTGCTCATCGACTTTGAGGGGGTGACCAAGACGTTACAGCGGTCAACGTTGACGCTTTCCGGTGTTCGACGTCCGTTCGTGTGACGAAGCGCCCGTGCCTTTTTGAAAAGGTTCAGGTTGCTACACCGCTCGACCTTGGTCTTCGCTCAGCCCTTGCACTACTCGGCTCAGCCCTGCTTAGCGCTGCAAGAGTTCCGCTCATCTCCTCCCACTGAGCGAACACTCCCACTCCACTTCGCTAGGCTTAGCTGCTTGAACGCTTGGCTCAGCTCCGATGTATCAGGGTTACGCGAGAGTTACCCGAAGGGTTACGAAGATTGGGACACACAGGCGTTGTGGGTACGCACTTTAACCTATTTCAGTAGGAGGATCAGTACATGGATTCAGAGCAACTGGTTATGCATATGACTAGGGTTCACTATGCTAGATAGTGAACCGGATACATTTACACCGTAGGCGGCTTGGCCGCGCTAAAGGGAAATACATTCAGTTTGAGATTCACACAACTAAGAGTTAAGGGTTGACTCTTGGAGTCCGTAAGGTGTACGGACTCGTGCGTTCTGGTATTAGAACGGGCTACCTTGAGCTGAGACTCTGTGAGTCCGTTACGTCTTCCTCTGACGCTAAAGCTACGGCAGCCCCGCTGCATCCGACTTTATGTCTCTGAGCCTGGGTGAGGCTCGTACCAGCTTCTACTATCTTCTCTTCGAGTCAAGCAACGACCCGGTCTGGAGTTAGTGACTCAGTTTGAGCCTAGTCCGAATCCAAGGCACTCACACACACCCTGGGACTGCCCGCGCACCAGGTCCACAATGAACCGATACTAATAATCACACAATGCACCGGGGCACGCCAATGTCCCCAAGCACACAATACAATTAACCTGCCTAAACCTTCGAATGGATCACCTTCCACCCGAAAATATGAAATAAACCTGAAGATGTAACAGTTATATGAAATAACCGTACTGCCGTCGCACCGAAGCACTCTGACAACGTTGATATGTTAGCTTGAATTTGTGTGGATGATCGTCAAGACACCTTCTGGCCAAAGACCTCCACCACTTGCGTCCTTCGGGGCAAAACGAACTATGTTTAAATGTTTACACATGCACAAACTAGGACTCACTAAGTGGGGGCGCAATATCCCCCTGGGTCCACACTGACTGGCGGCACGAAGAGCGTCGGCTGTATGCTTACCATAGCGCGCTTGAGATCTGCTTGAGGTCCGCTTATATCTTTGTCTTGACCAATGCCGAGGCTCCATGTTGGCACGTGGAGCGTTGGTACCGTTGAAGCTGCTGGAAGTGTCCGCGATCTTGAGCAGTCGCACCCATTGTAGGCAGGCTTCAAGCTGATTTCACCGGATGAGTGTACTCGCCGGTGCCACCAACTTTGCCGTCATTACCACTGTCTGGACTTAAGTTCAGCGACTCTTCACCCGGCACTTCAACTGGACTTCGACAACTCCACTCAGGGCCATACCACTCCGCTCAGGTATGCAACACTCCACTTGGCTTCTCGACTTGGGCTTTAAATGTTAACCTTGCCTAAGTCCTTGTCCCATCGTTCTCTCACGCTCCTGTGGTCCAACCGCACGCTCGCTGGCTCCCTCGGCCTTTGTGGTGGCGCCACCGACTCTTTGCTGGACGTTGACGTAATCCGGATACAAGATCATCATTCCTTTCCCAGGATCGACGTCACCCCTCCCCAAGCAGATATCCCCTGGTCTAGATCATCTTCGACGGGGTCACTCCTCTGGAGGTCGGTGTCACTTTCGGGGGAGATCACACTTGATCTTGGTGGATGGCTTCCGACTTCGGAAAATTCTCTGTTCGCTCCACCACAGTCGTCCCCTGCACGAGTGGAGGACGCACAACGGCAATCGCTCGCTGCACCCGTCGTCAGCGCCTTGCTCCGTTCCGCACCCCGCGTTCGTGTCGCACTCATGTCTGCTCCAGCTGACGGTCCCGCCGCCGGCAGTGCTTCTCCAGATCAAGACCCGTCGACGCCTCTCGGCGCGGATCGCGCCTCACAGAATCCAGGATCAACCTTGCCACCGTCGCCTCCAGGATCGCCGCTGCCGTCTCGTCCTCGCTCCATGGCCCACCCGGGGACATCCAGCTCCCAAGCGCCTCCGGTAACCTCCAACTCGCCATTGGCCGGCTTGGCCCTCCTAGCAGCAGTGGCTGGTCCCCACGTGGGAGATGCAGCTGACGTCGAAGACCCCGACGCGGAAGATCCTGCTGGCCGTCCGCCCCCATGTCAAGTGTGCGCGCAGATCGCCACTGCTCCGACCGTCCGCTTGGATCGGCCTCGTCTCGACCAGACACTGATCCACAACTCTCTCCAAATGATCCAGGCCTCGCTCCGTCAAGTAGAGGAGGCGTTCGCACAAAGTGGTACCGACGACCAGTTGCAGGACGAGGACGTGGAGCTGCAGCGTGACCACACTGCTGCCCTCCGGCACTCAAGCGATTTACACCATCAGATCGACACCTCGACATCTGCCGCTCGATCTCTCATTCAACATTGCCAGACACGTCACGACTGGCTGCTTGACCAGCTCCAGTTGACCAACTCGCTGCTGGTGTCGCGTAATCTCGACGTGGAGGCTTTGGAAGAGAGAGTAGCGGCCGCGGACCAGGTTCAAGAGGAGATGGATCGACTGCGGACGACTTCCGACGCCACTGCTCGGCAGATTCGCCATCAAGTTGCCACTCTAGAGGCCCAGATCGCCGCTGTGACGAACCATCCCGACGTTGGCCCCGTTCCGCCTCCTGCGCTGGCACGCCGTCTCCAAACCCAGGATCATGAGCCACTGCGACTGCGCCGGGCCTTCGAGGCCGCGCAACAGCGCTGCGACGCACTGGAGCAGTCGGAGGGCGCCTTGGAAGAAGCATTTACCCAACTGCGCGGCCAGATCGACTGTCAAGGTTGCCGGATTACGCGCCTCCGTGAGGATCTGCAAAAGAACCTTCAAGATACACAACGTCGGTGTACCCGAGCCGAGGAGCTGCGTCCGATGGAGACAGAGCGTCATCTCAAGCGAAGGTCCGAGCTCCACGATCTGCGTAAGTTCCTTCGCACATGCTGACCTTAATTCTTCTTGACTAACAACGTGTCGATCTTGGATGTAGATACCCATGTGGATTCCATGCGATCCATCACGGCCCAGTTGGAGCAGCAAGTCGCACATTGGCGGAATACCAGCCAGATCGCCGCTCAACTTCTTCACGACCATCAGCGTGAGATCGAAGAGCTTCGTCAGGCACAAGCGGTGGCCACTCAGAGCGATCAGATCCTCCACTACAGGGACGGTTACACGCGATTCTCGAACATAGCGGAGGCCATGGGCCAAGATGCGGTGCTTCCCGCGCCTTCCACGTTTGCCGCCCCTGTTCCCACTGGATCGACATCTCCTTCGGCCACTTCTAGTGGATCTCGCGCCGCGCCTCCAACGGCGAGTACTTCCTCAACTTCCGGACGAGCTCGGAAGGCACAACGCACGTCGTCGCCCCCACGTCGGGGTGCGCCTTCACGCTCCCGATCGCCGCCGCGCAAGCGTCCCGCCAGTTCCAGATCGACCCGTCGAGCTGATATAGGCGGGTGGTCCAAGGCAGGCGGGAGCAGCCAGGCCCCTTCTGACATCTCCGAGGCCGAGATCGACGACTCCACGCAAGGTGGGTCTCAGCCCCACTCTTCGTCCACCCCAGCACCGGAGATGGATACAGGCGACGACGAGATGGGCGCCGACGACGAAGGCTTCGAAGAAGAGTCCCGTGCAGCCCTCTCGCGTTCACGGTCGGAACGTCGACGGTCTTCTGGAACTGGGGTTGGATCCTCGAACCGGCCCATCGATCTGAGCACGGGTGGAACGGGAGGATCTCCGGGTCAATACTCCGACGAATCCAGCGGCATATACATATACCTCCGTTCCACCTGCCTGCGCCCATCCCACAGACTCTTCGACTCGATTCTCGTGTGACGGCCAACCCGTCTCACAATCTCGGCGCACGACTGCTCTTCGTGCGATTGCATGACCTCGAACCGATTTCGGTTCGATCGCTCCCGCAAATAGTCACGTAGCATGCTCCGCAGTTCAAGTCAGCTTCGTCGATCCACGATGGCTCATCATATCCCGTCCAGTATACCAAGAATTCTCTCAGAACACGTCCATACCGTGTGCGCCGCCCAGATCGCATGTCAGCGATACGCTCCATCTCATACTCGTCTTCACCTAGATTTGTTTCCCAGCTATCCTCAGGTAATAGAGCCTCGTCTAAGTCGAGTCGATCTTGGTCTTGGATCGTCAAGGTGAGGTGTGGTCGGCCTGGGAAGGTGCGAACGGGCTTCAGCTTGGACACGTGCACAATTGGGAACAGTCGATACTCGGTTCCTGCGATCTCGAGGCGAGCAGCGTACGTGTCAACGACCTCAACTACACGGAAGGGGTCATGCCACATGTGCGCAAGTTTATGAGCGTAGCCTTCCTTGACTCGGTCGAGATACAGCCATACCTGCATTCCAGCCTCGATCTCGGGTGGGCGCACCGATTCGTTGTGCTGGTCAGCTCGATCTCTAATTGCCTCACGTAGGCGCTCATTGACTTGCTGCCGGGCCTGCTGATATTGCTTCTGGACATGATAGCGCCACCTGCGAGGCTGTCGATCCCGCCGGCGCGTCGATCCCAGCGTTACCATTGCCTCCAGAGTAGATCGAGGGTCCCACCCATGTACCAAGTAGAAGGGTGTGTCTCCACGAATCCGATTTTGGGCCGTGTTGAGAGTAAAAGTAAGGTGCTCCGCGTACTCGTCCCAATCTCGCTGGTTGATGTCTTCGACATACATCTTCAGAGCGCGAGTGAGCGTCTGCACCATCCGCTCGGCGGTACCATTGGCCTGAGGCCGATAAGCCATAGTCGCACACTGTCACTGACCGACGATCTTGTTGAACGATCTAAAGAAGTCCGACATAAATCCAGGTTCGCGGTCATGTCGTATCGCCTCGCTAGCTCCAAATCGGCGAAAAACGCATTCCTCGTAGTTTTCAGCGATCGTTTGGGCCGTTCGCGACGAGCTGGCCTTCGCAATCACGAATCCAGTGAAAAGATCGATCCAGATCAGCAACTCCGTGTTCCCTTTGTACGACTTGGGTAATGACGGGATGTGGTCCATGGCAATGATCTGGAACGGGTAGGTAGTCTGAAGATCACCGGGAGATTCTCCTTGTGTAGTCGGCCTCCCTTTCCCGGTCTCGCAGTCCACACACAGCCCCACATATCGTTGTACACTTTGGTAGAGGCCTCTCCAGTGAAAATGGGCACGAATCCGCTGGTAGGTTCTTCCAATGCCTTGGTGGCCACCCTCGAGACTGACATGATAATGGTATAGGAAGTCCTGCTGCAAGGTCTCCGGGATCACCAGCCGCATCACAAGATCACGACCTTCATCAGAGCGCTTCGATGGCGGGCAGTAGAACAGCAATCCAGCTTCGTCGATCTCGTAGTCATCGACAATCTTGGTACACGCTTTAGCCTCCGCCGAGGTAAGGTCCTGCACATCCCCAAGTAGATACTTCTTGAGATCGGCAATCCATTTCTCTTCATCCTGGGCCTGGCAGATGCGCTCCGTCCGCATTCGTTGTACCATCAACTAATCCAACACTTGTGGGGCTGCTCGTCTCCTCCATCTCGTAACCGCCGCGATCTTGATCACCGCCGCGTCAGATCGAGGAACCAATAGTTCGTCGAGCCGGTTGAGCCTCACCAGATCTTCGCGCTTCCCGTTGTAGTGCTGCGCTTGCAAGTCGATCTGCACTCTGGTTCCAGTCACGTTTCATGTGGAGAAATTCGTGATTAGGCCAAGATCGTAACTGTGGTGTAGTGCCCCGCGAAGAAGTGGGCACACCGGGCGCCGGAGGAAGAAGGCGCCGAGATGGATGTCGGCGGACGCGAGTGATGAACGCGACGCGGATTATGGGCGCGACGCAGGGCCGAGCTCGACGGAAAGTCGGCGTGGGTGATGGGCCGTGAGACACGGTGCCAGAATCCAGTGCGACGCGTAATCATCCGACGGGCCGATCAGCGCGCCCGTTTCCCCCAAACCCGTCAACCCTAAACCCCGTCGAGAAACCCCGTCGAGGAACCCCGTCGAGCCCAAGTCGTGATTACGTTACGCGAATCAGGTTGAAGAGCGGCAGTGCAAGCACGACAGACGCAGGGATAGGCGTAGGGTGGTAGGCTTAGTAAGCAGTAGTAGGGAGTAGCCAGTAGCAAGGACATAGGATAGGGTAAGGACTCAGTCCCGAAATTTCTCTGAGCCACTCAGACCTCTCCCCTCCGGAAGATCGCCAGGTTCTTGAAAACCACCAAGCGTCGGCAAGCAGAGCCGCAAGGAACACGCGGCCCCCCGTCGCTCGCTGTCTCGGGCATCCCCCCCCTCAAACCCCGTGCTAGAAACGAAGGCACGTAAAACGTATACCGGTTAGGAGGCGCTCGATAACGCGCAGCCTAGACGAAGGACCGCACGGCCTGATAACCGCTGTGCACAAGACCCCGCGTCGGCCCGATACCGCCACGCAACAAGCCCCAGGAAACGCCGGCCCGATAACGCCGCACACCCGACGGGATCTCCGAGGAAACGCCGGCCCGATAAGTCCGCACGCCCAAGGAACAACCGACGCCCTAAGACAAGGAACAAGCGTCCACTCAACCCCCCAACTCTGAAGCTTGCGAAGACTTGGGCTCTATATTCGAAGATACGCTACTCAAGATCCGGGAAATTGCCCGTCGCGACCGCAGATTGGACGCGTCGGGTTTGTGCGAGGACGAACTCCGCGATTTCTGCGAGGCCGCTACTCCACACAACCGTTCCATGGCCTTCTGACGTAGTAGTACCAAGCTCGGGGCCTTGCACTCGATCTCTCCACGCATCTGACGGATCACCAAGTTGGAGTCACCACAGATAATTAGGCGCCGCCCCCTGTGCAGGGTGGCTAGGAGATCGAAACAGAGCAGCTAGCCGTGATACTCCGCCTCATTCACCGTAAGATCAACCTGGTTCTCCGAGGCGGCCGAGATCACCTTCCATTCCGGCAATCCCACACAATCGCGCTGTAGGCGCCCCACTTCGTTTCACACGAGCTGATCTGTCGAAGCTAGCCACCAGCAGTTCTTCACCCATCTTTACAGCGGGCGGCGGCATCGTGATCGCTTATCGCGATTGTTTCCTGGGGGAGATCGACGTCAGGATGGCGTCGACTTCTTCGCGTGGCGTTATGCTCGCAGCTATCACACCCAAGATCATATATTTTCCCTTCGTGCACTTCACGATCAAGCTGCCCAACGGCCAAGGCGCCCTTGCAGCCGGATGAGTGCACCAGCCAGGCCAACGTTGAGTATCGGGTCAGGACCTTGATCTATCTGGTAACCAGTTGCGTGTAGCAGACATCTAATATCCGGAGCAGTGCCAACACCTCCATATCCACCATTCCATAGTTGATCTCGTTCGGCTTGAGCGCCCGGCTGGTAAAGGTGACTGGCTTGTATACCCCATCGTGCTCCTGCATCAACGCCGCAGAGATCGCCCACTTGCTGGCGTACACCACGACCACTGGCTCCCGATCTGGGTCAAAGTGCTGCAGAATTGGCGCCTTCACGATCTTGTCCTTCAATACCGTAAATGCCGTGACGGCTCGACCCCACTTGGCACTGTCAGTTTGGCGTTCACCAGCTTCGACATCATCTGCGCCGACCTCAATCTTGGCTTTCCAGGTGATTTCGTAGAAGTCAGCCTCACGAAGTTCGTACAGCACTGAAGCGTAGACCGCGAAGTCCTCGATGAACCTACTGTAGTAGTTGAGACTATCTAAGAATGACTGCATCGATCTCAGGGTGGTCGGAAACGGCAGATTGGCCAATACTGATAGATCCTTCGGGTGAGCCTCCAGTCCTTCCGCAGATACTCGACGTCCCAAGTAGTCGACCTTCTTCAATCCCCAAAAGCACTTGGCCACGCTGATCGACAAGTTCCATTCCTCGCAGACATCTAGCAGCTTTTCCACCTTCTCACACAGCGTATCCCACGAACCGGCCGTAACCAAGATGCCATCGATATAAGATCGACGCCCCAGGACAGAGGTCTTCTGCTCGACGTTTGGTTCTCCGTCCTTGAAAAGGTCGATCTGTCCCTGTCGATTTTGGTTGCCCGTGATCTTGAGGAAGCCGTAGAGTGCGTTGTCGATCAGTCGCTGGTAGATCTGCGGCGCGTTTTTCAGCCCGAATGACATTCGATTCCACTCGTAGAGCCCCCATGGAGTGACGAACGCGGAGATTGCACGAGCTCGATCTGTCATTGTCACCACCCAGAAATCACTAGCCATGTCCAGCGAGCAATACCAGAGCACCTTGTCGAGATCTTCGAGGAGATCGTTGATCAGCGGTATCGGGTAGACCATTAAACGCGTCAGACTGTTGACCAGACGGTAGTCAATACAGAGTCTGATGTCGACCCCGTTCTTCTTGACGATCACCACGATCGGTGATGCCCAAGGAGACGTTGAGATCTTGATCATCTTGGCTGACAGGAGTCCCTTGATTAGCTGCTCCAGCTTCTCGCGGTACTGCGGCGCCACTTTGCGGCAACGCTGAGCGACTGGCTTCGCATTTCCGACGTCAATGTCGCAGATCGCACCTTTTGCGGCAGGTGGTAAGGCATTGCCCCTTCCCATAAGCGGATGCTTCCGGCGCCAGATGATCTTCCGCAGTCGGTCGATTTCCTCCGGGGTGTTTTCACCAGGATCGCCCACTTGGATGTCCGTGATCACAACTTCATCGGCCGTAGAGAACTCGGGGAGTACTGCTATTTGACCTTCCACGTCTTCCGCGTAGAGATCGCCACCTTCCGTCATGCATACCTGATTCGACCGGTCTTGGGCGCGCGTCAACTTCAAGATCACACATGGGTGTGGGTTTACGCGTCGCTCCACCATCACTCGAAGTCGCTGGGTTCTCATCCGTTTCGATCCGCCGATCTTGATTAGACGCCTGATTTGCGCCTATCGCACCACTGTAATCTTGATGAGACGCCTGATTTGCGTCCGTCGCAACCACTCGATCTTGATTAGACGTCCCCTGTCGCACCGACGGGGCATGATCTTCCAAACATTCCGTGTCGCAGACTGGATTTTCAGCGTCGTAATCACCCGATGGTCTCTCCGCCCCCTGCGACGTGGAGAAATCATGGTGCGTCTCTTCTGCGCCGAATTCGTCGATGTTCTTCGGTTCCTCGTCGCTGCTGGGCATCGCGTGAGACGTGGTGGGGTCGTCGCACGACCCTTCCGGGTTGGAGTCGTCGGGGTTCTTGGGCGACATGTACTCGGCACGCACTGTGGCCACCTCCGGTCGCTTCGCAGGGCGGGTAAGATCGCGGTCGGCGTCGTGTACTGAGGCCGCTCCACAGCAGGCTCTTCCACACCGGCAGGTTCCGGCACATCGTCCGCAGTGTCGGTAGTTGCTTGGTACGCCAAGTTCTGCCACTCAGCGTAGCGGCGAGATCTGACGGAGACATACCCAGGTAAGCGCGGCACTCGATCTCCGGACAGCCACATCGCGAGTCGCATACCTTGATGCAGCACTAACTTGCGTTCGCTGAGATTTGTCAGTTGCAGGTAACGAGCCCTGCCCGGGCCTGCAGTCACGGTAGGCACCCATCGATCGCCACGTGTGACCCAAAGCTTCTGATGTTCTGTTGGTCTCGTGCGCAGCTTCACCTCGGTGGATCCGGCCACGTCGAACTCGCGATAGTCGGCCAAGTTCACTTGCTCGACCTTGTCACCGTAGAGTGGGCGTCTTCCAGCAAGCTGAATTCGCACCTCGTCCGGCAGGCAGATGGATCCGTCGGCAAGATCAAGGCGGATCCCGGTCGGCACCATGAAGTCCATGCCAAGGATTAAGTCTTGGCCGCCGGTCGGCGGGCCCACCCAGACATCGAAGAAGTACACAAGCGATCCCGCGAGCGTGATCTTGACCCGCGCACGTTTTTCCGCCATGAATGGAGATTTCCCAACGCCTTCGCACTCCAATGTCTGACTTTCATCAATGTAGCACCCCACCTTACGAGCAAAGGCGGTGTCTAGGATAGACACTTCAGCACCACTGTCAAACAACAGAGTTGCTTTTTCGTTGTTGATCTTGCCCACAGTTTTCGCTTGCTTGAACTTCTTGTCGGGCACATGGTATTTCCAGTAACCACGCGACTCCCCCAACGCGATATCCAAGGCCATCTTCACACTCGATCTTGAGTAGTCATCAATTTGGTGAAGGCTTGACACGGCAGCCGTAGTTTTCTTTTGAAGATCACATGTATTGTCGATGAGTTTGTTTACAGTCGACTGTGACTGCTTCTCAACATACGCAAAGATGCAGAACTGAGAACGCTCGTTTCATACCGGATTCCAACCCGGCGAGCGTCTTAGTTTAACATCTTCTCCGCGGACTCGGGCAACATGCCCCCGTGCTTGGTGGGATTGTACCACTGGCGGATCATATTCTAGAATTCCTCCATCGGACAGCTCCCTTCGTCGTGAATTTCGCCACAGGCTTTGCAGACAAAGAGGCAGCGATCCGACGGGTGACCACGCTTGCCGCATTTCTCGCACGTCAACCGCTTCCAACATCCCAGATCATCATGCTTGACAGACCCACAATGAGTGCACCGCTTGAGGGGCGCCCCCATGTCGTTTGGCATCGAGTGTTGACCGGGCCGACGATCCGGACGGTTGCGATCTTGTTCCGGTAGACGCCGGTCTTGACCAGAGGTGCGATGTTCAGTCGCTCCGTTGCTGTTGCCAGCCGCGGTCGCGTACACTCGGCGCAGATCTCCATCTTCACCCGATCCACTTGATCCAGAGTCGGAGTCACTAGTGTCGCTCGGTATCTGGATCGCTCGCACTGCGCGGTTACCGGCGGTAGCTGGTGGCTTCTGACGGGGCTTGATCGAGCCATACACTGTCTTGCTCTGTCGCGCTTCGGCGCGCTGGCGAGATCGCAGACTTCTTCCAGGATATCCGCATCAGGAATCCGCAGCAGGGCGAGCTGGTCCGCTAGATCGCGGTCGTCCAACGTCTCGATGAAATGTTCCACATGCTCACGACGCACGTCCGGCGGTCCGTCCTTGACTTGTAGACGTGTCCGCAGCCCCGCAACGTTGAGTCGATGAAGGTACTCCAAAGGCGACTCGTCAGATCGTTTCCGAGCATGGTAGTACTGGCGGGCAACCGAGACACATCGTCCACAATACTGGATCTGGAAGCTCTGTAGAAGGTCCTTCCACGTGGTGCGGGTCGTACCACTCAGCTGGCGGTACCAGTTTCGCGACGGGCCCGTGAGTAGATCTCCGAATACTAGACACTTCTCATCATCGGGAGCTTGATTGCAGACGAAGGCCGACCTTACCTTTTTGACCCAAGATCGAGATCGGTCTTCGTCGCCGTCCTTCCCTGAGAATTCTTTCAGCTCAGACATCGCAGACACGCGGATGCGTGGTGCGGCACCGGTTCCTCCTGCTGAAGTAGAAGCTGTTGTTGCGATCACCGCACGGGCAGGTCGACCCAGATCGAGGTCGTCGGGATCGAACTCCCATGACGCAGAGTGTCGGATTGGTGATCCAACAGACTCCATGTCCACATCTTGATCTCCGGTCGGCTGCAACTTCCGCGCGGTACCAGGCAGCTGTTGTTCCTTCCGAAAGCGTTCCATGGCCGCGTGGAAGAACGAATCAAGCTTTTCCGGAGAGTGATGCACTGATGCTGCTGCAATCTTCGGTTCTCGAACTGGCGCCGCCACCTCGTGCTCGGCGCGCTCCGCTCGACCTCGCAGCATAGCGGCACCAGAAGGTCCTAGCGTCATGCGGGGGGGGGGTCGTCAACACTGTCAGAGTCCACCTCTTCTGTCGCAGATACGTATGGGGACGATGTCGCCGTTTGGTCGCCTGGGTTGGGCGTTGGCACTGGTCTGGATGCTGTCAATCTGGAAGGCTCCTGGGACGATCTTGCTGGTTCCTTCCGGGATCGACTTGACTCGCCGACCAACGGCTTCAGTAGCTGGAACAGAGTCTGAGTCGAGTTCTGGATCTCGCTGAGCTTCAGATCGAACAGACTTTGTGCGTCCAGCGCTCCCGCAATGATGCCCACTTCCTTGAAGAGCCGTAGCAGGGTCTGTACGGCAGCTAACTTGTCAGGTCCAGAGGTCGGCTGTGACACCGGTCCCGCGAGATCACCGAGGAGCTTCGGCCGAAGGAGCTTCATCACGCCGTCCTGAAGTAGGAAAGCGTGGAGCTCCTTCCTGTAGTACGCGGCAGCTAGTTGAGCCTCAGTCACGGTTAGTGCGAGATCGAACCGATCGTCAGCGTCGGAGTCGGGAGCCTTCATCTTCTTCCGCGACGACTTCGATCTCGCTGGCTTCTTCTTGAATGATCTAGCACTGGGTGGTTGAATTCCGGCTTGCGCTGGTGGACTTTCGTCCGGCAGGCCACGATTCGCATCGAGACCTGCGGGGGTCCCCGAAGGGACCTGGGGAGGAGGTTGAGGCTTTTCTTAGGCCCGTTGCTGGACCTTCCTCTGTTCCGTCGGTAGAGCCCCTCCCTAGGCTCTGCCGATCCGCGGATCCATCATCTATCAGCAGCGTCGACGGCGATCCGTTCTCCGTCGACGCTTGATTCCCTTGCCCAAACTCGGCTTGCGCATCCTCTTGGAGGGACTCACGGTGAAATCATGAGTCACCCAAAGATCCGGGCACGCGCACCATTGTGGCGAAGCGGCTCCGCGAAATTTGTAGATCGCGGGGCGTCCTCTTGCACACGGCGCCCGAACTGCCGACTAACGGAGGGGGTACTCCGATCTTCCGTGAAGTTCCGTGAAGTTGCCGATCCTCACCTTGTGTACCCGTCGGTGGGCTGGATCGCTCTTCGGGTGATCTCGAGAAGACGCGCTTGGGGTTGAGTCTTAGACTGTCTGGCGGACAGCGGGAACTTGTGGCAGCAACGCGGATATGCTTCACGCTGTGCCGGAGTAGTTGTGGCGGTTTCGATCCGAGGTTGTCTGGATCGACACTCGCCGGCCAGGTGTGATCTTGGCCTGGGGTTGCCTTGTGGTTGGTGTGTAACCTTCCTTTGCTTTTCCTTGCTTGCCGCTTCCTCTAGCGGTGGGTCGAAGTGAGGGTTGACGGACGCTGGGCCAAGCTATCCTGGCGTCCGAGGTTCCTTGATCTTGGGGTATAAGTCGACTTGCGTAGCGTCGGGTGGGCCAAAGTATATCCCGTGCCCGGTAGTGCAAAGGCGAAGACCACTTGATCAGTAGAAGGTAAGAACAACTCTGTTTAAATGTTAACCTTGCCTAAGTCCTTGTCCCATCGTTCTCTCACGCTCCTGTGGTCCAACCGCACGCTCGCTGGCTCCCTCGGCCTTTGTGGTGGCGCCACCGACTCTTTGCTGGACGTTGACGTAATCCGGATACAAGATCATCATTCCTTTCCCAGGATCGACGTCACCCCTCCCCAAGCAGATATCCCCTGGTCTAGATCATCTTCGACGGGGTCACTCTTCTGGAGGTCGGTATCACTTTCTGGGGAGATCACACTTGATCTTGGTGGATGGCTTCAGACTTCGGAAAATTCTCTGTTCGCTCCACCACACCAGCGTTACCCGAAGCTGAAGCCCCGACTGTCTGCGGATGCACCCAGCATCAACAATGTTGCCCTCGAAAGTGGCATCGTCAAGCTGCAGCGCACGGAGGCCCTCACCCCAGCAGAGCGTGCCGCCTGCACCGATTTCCGACTCTCTAAGACAGCAGCACCTCAGCCTACGCCACCTTCGGACCTCTCGATTGTCCAACAGGCGTTCAAGAGGTGCAAGGTGGCCAAGCACCCGAGGTACACTGGCGTTGTATTCGCTCCATACACCTCTAACGAGTGTGAGAGATTTTTTTCGGCAACCAAGCTAGTCTACTCGGATCTAAGGAAGCGAATGGATGCATCGACGCTCGAGACGCTCATGTTCTTGATGTACAACAAGGACATGTGGGACGTCTACACTGTTGAAGCAGTGTCATCGTAAGAACTATGGTCATGTATAATGGAAACTAATGGAATAATATATTCTGTGGTTTCTTTGGTCTTCATTAATACCACTACGCAATGTTGCCATACACTGGAGACTAACTAAATCCGCACTTTACTGAATCGACCCCAAAATGAGCCAAACCACAGCCAAGTACTAGAAAGGACTGCAGCCGTCCTTAGGACCGATAGACTAGCTCACCTAAGAATATACGAGCACCCACAGGGGGCGCACGTGTAGCCGCTTCAAGCGTGTCCATTCAAGTTGTGCTAGCCGTTAATCCATGGCACTAGTATTTAACAACATAATCGACGATACATTCGCCGTCCTCTAACCGAGAATCCTGTCTGTCGGTCATCGCGTCACGCTTTCCGCCCCTACAGCATAGACTTGTCATCTCGACTGCGCAACGGCGACCCAATTCCACCTATTGTCCACTTATCGAATCGAATCGCACTTAAAAAATGAACGAAATTACAAAAAAACATAATCACCCTAAAACTCACACTTTAGCGAGCGTAATTATGTTGGCACGAAGGGGCCTGCTCCCTACTAAAACCTCGGAGGGACCGCAGTGACCGACTGTATCAAATACTCGACCCCACGCCGCGAGTACTGCAGCGAGCTCCGCGAGCGGAACGGGGGCGCCCTATCATTGCCTAAACCCATCATACCCAGGCGAAGCGCCCGCGAAGCGGTGCGCTGAGCTCTAGTCCTACGTTTTACGAAGGTACCAATCCGGAACAAATCCGCAATCGTGATTAACGGTGCGGGTTTTCTTTGCTTCTTTATGATCTTTTAGCTAAGTAGTGTACCGCCATAAAAAAAATGCGTGAAGTGAGGTACATTTTATCGTCGGCGCTGCGCTCCTACTTCCTCCGTAGTAGATGGCTACATTATCGAGTTTCAAAGTAGCGAAAAATCAGACTTTTTTGCTAAAGATTTTCAAAAGATCAGACCAAAAATCAGGCAAACGATGAGCCTCCGAAGGACCATCGTTTGTCTGAGTTTTTGTTGAGCAAATTTGGTCAAACGCCATTCATCGAGCGGCAGCAAGACACCACTTGAAGTCGGCGCAGACTAGAAGTCGACCAGGCGCCGCGCGCACATGAAGTTGACGCCCAAGACGCCGGACCGGCGGGCGGTGCCTTGGTCAGCTCTTAGCTGCTGCTTGGGGCACGGACGGAGGGTTCAAATTGTTGCCCCTATTGCCAGCGCTGGCCTCCAGCTTGGAGGACCAAGAGCAAATCTTTACGTCATTGCAAAACCAAACAACAACGCCGCGATCGGCTGAATAGCAACGCTGAGACGATCAAAAGATCAGACGATTCATTAGCAAAATATTCTTTTAAAATCGCTACTTTGAAACCCCCTATTGTTAGCCTAAGTCCCCGAAAAAAAAAACCGCTACACCTTTCTTGCTTAAACTTCATCACTAGATTTTTTATATGATTATGTGCCGTGAACGCTAGCTGTGGACTTTTCCAGCTCCATTAACCGAGGTCCCAATAAAAAAGCCGATCGTTCAGAGTAAATGACGTTTTTATACCATCTCGTTGTGATAATCGCTGTAAAAAAACAGCATAACACAACGAAAAATGAGCAGACCACAATTGGGTTGAAAAGAATTCACCTAGTCTGTACGAGCTTTTCAGCCAATCAGTGCATTGGATTTGCACCACATATTTTTATGAGGTGTCAAATCCTATACAATAATAATATCAGTGAAGACGGGTAATCGTGATTTCATACTGAAACTCAGTATTTTTTGGCATTATCTTTCCATGAGGTTTTTGTGTTCTACGCATCACACAGCAGCGATTGAGTCTTACTTTTGAGGTTTTGAACGCTGATTTCAATTTCAAATATGTATAATTTGGGTAGGGTCATTTTTGGGTCCTCGATCCTGTCGACTACTGTACATGTTTTCAGGAATTACATTTTTTGGTGGGGGATTGTGCTTCGGGTGCGTTATTTAAAAATGGGGGAAATTCCAAAAGGTGAATCGATTTGAAAATCTCCCTGGACTGTGACTCGATACGGCACTCACCTCCGATTTAGACTATGGATTAGCACTCATTAATAACAATTCGACACGATACTTACAAGTTGGAAGACCCCCCCCCTTGAAGACATTATCGCGTTTCGAAAGGTGGAGGGGATGACCACGTCGAGAAGCGTGCGCACCATAGCTTGTCTGCGTGGTAAGGAAGTCAATGCGTGCGCTCTTACAGGGGTCGTTCTGTCCTTAGTGTAAATCGGAGGTGAGTGCCGAATCGAGTCACATTCTGGGAATATTTTCAAATCGAGTCACCTTTTGAAAAAATAATTCCGAATCGGACCCGTAACTTCGAATCGAACGTTTTTGAAATAATCTAAGTGTACCCAAAGTGTACCAAAAATGTTTCCTGTTATCAAACTTCTCGCTGTTCATAAGTTGTACCATGAGATATGAGATAATAAATACATTTCCACTATATAAAATGCATAGATTTTATATAAAATAAGAACTAAACGAAGTTGATTAGGAAAATGTATATGCCAAAGCATAGGACAATGTATTACAATACTGTTTTGTTCATAAAACAATAATTGTTATACACTAGGTTTATTAGTCTACATAAAAAATGTATGAATAACAAATGCAGTTATATGACATTTTGATACAACGTGTTTTAACACGTTTTGTACTTGCGAAATGGAAAGGTCAAACAAGTTTTAGCGATCATAATCAACATTAGAGTGTCTTGGTTATACTCTCTGAAATATACCAAAATTCATTAAAGCTTTGTACTTCTCTGTCCCACCAATTTAAGGGTAGTTGAGTTTTTTTATCATAAGGTTGCCCACACAAACAAGCCAAAGCCCAGCGTACCCGCGTTGTAAAGCCCGTGGTAGGGCGCTGTTCACACTATTCTTTTTGCAATGTAATAACGGCCCTCAGCAAGTAAATAACAACACAAATGCAAATGCACCTCTGAAAGAAATAAGTTTTGTTTTCGTAAATCCATGGAAAGCTAGCGATATTAAACGAAAGGGGAAATCCGGTTTGGGGTTCGTAATTTAAATCTAATTCGGTTTGGGGTCCGTTGAAATTAGAAGGTGTAATCTTTAGTTTAAAATTGAAAACTTACCGTATTTTTAATCATGTATCCTAATCGTACCCTATTTCCGAAATTCACCCTATGTGCGAACTATGTTGTTACGTTAAAATGTACTCTGTCACCAATCGGTACCCTTTGACGTTATGGTAGCGTGTATACTATTGCGATCGTGGGAGTAACGTGCCGCATGGAACATCGAGACGAGTCTAACGAACCTAGCGATTGGTCCTTGCTGCTTCTGTAGTGCATGAGGAGATGCATGTCACCGTGTTTCTCGCGCAGTTGGCACCTTGCAATTCCTGGGCGGTATGAATTCTGGTGCCAGCCGTCCACATGGCTGTCGTACAACCGGCAATTCTCCTTGAAACCTGCAGAGCCAGTTCGCATCAAAACTCAGCCATCAGGGCAACTACATGGGCAAAGGAAAAGGGATGACAATACGCACAGAAGTAGAGTCGGTGGCAACAGCGCCGACGAGCGTCGTTACCACGAACATACCCCGGAGGCTAGTTCTTTTGATGTCTCTGCGAGAGGGAGACTCTAACGTCCAATCCTGGAGCATGATCTGCCCCAACTGACATGAGTTAACGAAATAATAAAGAAATAGAAATAGAAATGCAGTCAAAGGATGAAAATTTTCCACGCTGCCGACAAGGGGGCGTGAGGTAATGGAGTGTCGGAGGGGATACTGGAGGAAGAAGAGATTGCGACTCTGGCGGTGTCTCCTTCCAGCTCGTCAAGCACTCTGTGAATGTACAGCACGCCAGGATAATATCAAACGTGGAAAGGAAGGTATGGCAAGTGAGATTAGATGGCTTAGCTAAATCCGATTCTGTATGGTCCACTTAGGCTCAACGTTACGTTTTAGTCATAGGGTACATACGGGGCACAAGTTACAGAAATGTACTGTGTACGGTAGAGTACGAATAAGGTATACTTCTTAATCACCCTTGGAAGTTTTACAAAACACGGTAAGTTTTCAAATTTTAAGCCAAAGATTACGCCTTCTGATTTGAACGGGCCCCAAACCGAATTAGTTTTAAATTACGGACCCCAAACCGGATTTCCTCTAAACCAAAAGGTTACCACGCGATTGCTCCGACTTGGCGACTCTTTACGCAATAGCACACGTGCCAGAAACATGCGGAACACTCCGTATTAGGCACTCGAATTTGTGAGGTTTTATTGCCTGTTATGCTGGTTTCGGTCAAATCACATGATAATTTTATCCAATCAATGCGCTTCAAGGATTTAGGTACAGATTTATCCCTTTTGTGACCAAAAGGTGCATTTCGACCCCCTTGATGGTTGTTTCAAACCTGCGAGTAAACCCGCCATGAAGGGGGCCAAATGCCCCCGTTGACAGAAGTTCAACTACGAGCCCACCTATTTTTAAAACCATCAATCACAGCGAGCTCGGCTCCCCCACCCCTTGAATAGATTACGCTGTGTGGCAGAACAGTAAAATACGCGTTTAAGTACGAAATTTATGAATATTGCGTCAGCCAATACCAGTAAATGACGAGTTGACGATGCACACGTAGCTTCAATGTTCTCGCCCCTATCGCTGTTACACACCTAACAGTAGGCAGGCCCGCCTTCGCGTCAACCACGAGTAGTTGAGCTAGCACGGCCAGCGCGGAGTAGAGTCTTCAGCTACTCCGTGGCTGGTGCCGAGCTGCAACGCCACCCCGCGCTCCGTCCGCTTCATGACGCTCACCACCATGCGCCGTTAGAGCTATCAAAAGTGATGTAACGATAGATACGGTATATCGAGTTTTGTTGGAACCATTTTTCACAGTGAAATGCAGTAATATGTACATGTATATTTCAATAGTGAAATCAAGATATATACTCACTTCGCGACTGTGTCTGGGCTTGAAGCTGGCATGG